AATGTGAAACTCTTTGAGGCAACAACAACCACAACAACAAATTACATTACATTACAAATTACATTGCCTTCCAGGTCAGGAGGACATCCCCAGATGCCTCAATGCTGTGGTAAGGGGCTATATTAAATGCGGGAATGAATATAATCCGCCCTTCCAAGTCTTGCCAATGAGCCAGGCCGGCTGGTCAGGTGTCGTCCTTCGGATGAGACGTCAAACCGACTCCTGTCTGCCTGTTCAAGTGGACAGAAAAAATTTCACGGCACAATTCAAAAAGAGAATCGGTGTCCTGGCCAATAAATCCCACGAGTAAAATTGGTCACTCGCTCCATGGCTGTTTATGGAACATTGGTGTGTGCAAATTGGCTTCCACGTTCGTGCACAAATATACAGTCACTACACTTCGCAAAGACAAATCCTGTGAATCGCTTTGAGGTATCTCGATGCCTTGATCAAATGGAAGGATTGTATCAATGGCAGACGATAGCGAGCTAACAGTAGCGGAAGTAGGGAAAGGTGCCAGACTCCTGTGGTATGAACTTTCAGAGCTGTCAGAATTTGCGGCGTAGTCCCTTCCTGGAGTGAACTGAGTCCCTTCTGAAGTCTGAAATATCTCATTATCTCACCCTTAACAACCGGGTCTTAAAAATGTCTAAAATTCTTAAATTCAGTCTTAGTTTTGCAGGAATGTTCCACTCAGCTGGATCCATCCACACCTTCAAGAGTGAGGTTGCTAGATTTTTGGTAGTTCAGGGTATTAAGGGATATGGGGAGAAAGCGGGAAATCGGAATTGAAAGGATTAGTTGAGGTCCAGATCAGCCGCGATCTAATTAAATGGAGGAACAGGCTCAAAGGGCTGAATGGCCTCCTCCTGTTCCTATGTTCCTACTCCAAAATTGCATTTTACAGTGAATCATGTGAAGCACTTTGAGACGTCCTCCAAAGGTAAAAGGAGCTATATCAAAAAGCGAGGATTATTATTATTAATAATAACAATAATTATTACTAATAACAGTCACTGCACTTTACAGTAGATCTTGTGAAGTGATATGAGACACACTCCCGAAGCGAAAGGCTCTGTATTAAAATGCAACGATTATTATTCATTATTAAGACATTTTTCCTTTTTTTAATGTATAAGAATTGTGTAAAACATAATAATAATAATACTAATATCCTTGCATTTGATATAGCACCTTATCACATCTTCGATACATCTCAAAGCGCTTCACACAATATACTGCAAAGTATATTTTTGTGGGCAAAATGCGGCAGCCAATTGCGCACAGCAGCGTCCCACAAACAGTCATGGATTGAAGTGACCAATTTATTATTATTTTTTTGAAGGAATTATTACCCCCAGAAAAGCGATCCGCCAATCGACTAACATCTGGGTTCCTACTTACTGCTGGGTAACCAGAGGCGTGTGGAAATGTGCCCAACATTTTGCGCTGCCGGGAATCGAACCCAAGTCTCCCACTTGCGAGACAAGTGCTCTAACCACTGAGCTACAAGACTCCACATGATTCCAAATTTAGACTCTTCTGAAATTCTGCACGATCTAAAATCTTTAGACGATAGTGCTCAGGCTGTATCCGTAAGGGATCTTAGCCTCTTAACTTTCCCACAGCAAAGCGCTGTTTATTCCGTGAGCGCTATAATATTTCTCGAAGGAATTATTACCCCCGGAAAAGCCATATTATTGCAATATTCCTCACCCATCTTGATAAATAAGTAATAATAATAATGTTAATAATAATCGTTGCATTTGATATAGCGCCTGTAAAGTGGATTAACTGTGTCCAGTGCCTTGGGACGTCCTCCGGATGTGAAAGGCGCTTTACAAATGCAATTTGTTGCCCTTGTGTATTTTGTGGGTGAAACGTGGATTGAGTGACCAAATTATTTTTTTTTCACGTCTCTATTTGTCATCCGTGAAATATATGACAAACGTATACTTTCCATGTATCTGTCTCCGCCTTTTAACATCCCAAAGGATTCTGTCTGCCCCCAGCACACTTCTGAGGCAGTCCTCAACACTCTGCGTGAAGAAACGTTGGTCAAAACTTGCACGGACATTTTGGTTATCTCAACCACATTTTTTTTNGTAGAGGGATTATTACCCCCGGAAATCGATCCGCCAATCAATTAGCAACCAGGTTCCTATTTACTGCTAGGTAAACAGAGTAAGGAAACTTGCCTAAGATTTTGCCCCACCCGGGAATCGAACCCGGGTCCTCTCTCCTTGCGAAGCGAGTGCAATCATCACTACGCTCCAGGACTCCATGATTTATTTAATTCAATATTCAATATCTTTAAAAAGGGTTTATTTCGGTATTCTGCGACCATCTTGATAAATTGCATTTAAAATATCACCCGCAGAATTGAATGATGCAAAAAAAAAACAAGAGACATCTTTTGACAACATACAAAGCCATAGACTGAATGGTGATGCATTTTTTGGTGCAATGGACATGTCTGGAAGTCATTATCGGTTAAAAAAAAAGAGAGGAACAGATGGCATAATTTTAGTGTTGTCTTTTATAAAGTTTTTTTGTTAAAATAAAACCTGAAAGAATCTCAGCTACCCCGAGTTAATTTGAATCGCAGCGAAATCTATCCAACCAAGATACGCTTGCGAATGTTCGAAGCATCGCAGCGTTGAAAAAAAAAGTTAACACGGATATTAAGGTCAGACCTCGAAACAATTCTGTGCTTTCCAGAAACATTTCATTTCAATAATAATGAGCTCAGGGCAAAGGAGCAGCTGTGGAATATTGGATTCCTGATTAGCAGGTTAGAATCTCAGCCTTGCCTGATGGTTATAAAAGCAGCTTCCTAAATCATGGAGTCCGGTAGCGTAGTGGTTAGCACACTCGCCTCGCAAGCGAGAGGACCTGAGTTCAATTCCAAGGAAGGGTCGACACCTTAGGCAAGTCTCCCTACGCCACACGCCTTTGTTTACCCAGCAGTAAGTAGGAACCCGCTTGTTAGTCGATTGGCGGATCGCTTTCTGGGAGTCATAACCCCTCCAGAAAATAAACAAATGATAATTTGGTCACTCAATCCACGACTGTTTGTGGGAGGGACATTGCTGTGTTCCTTTAGGCTGCCGTGTTTCGTCCACAAAATACACAGTCAATTCACTTTACAGTGTATTCTGTGAAGGGCTTTGAGACGTCTCGAAGTCGTGATAAGACGCTATACCAAATGCAAGGATTCGGGGCACGGTGGCTGAAATAGCGGCCACCGATGGTGGGAAGGAGGACACGAGGAACAAGCAGGAGGCCGGAGCCAGTCGAGCAGAGGCAATGGGTAGTAGGTTGGGGAGTAAACTGGACAGGTTGGAGTGGTAGCGAGGTGTCAGGGCATGAAGGGATTTAAAGACGAGTGAGGATCTTGAAATCGGTTGTTGTGGCATCAGTGAGTGCTGCTGTACGCACCAAACAGGGATGAGGAACTAAACAGTTGGACTTTAAGGATACAGCCCATTTTGGGACTTTGAACTCACGAGCTTGGCTGACACTCCAATGCAGCCCTGGGGGTGGTCTGGGTTTCCGGAGGTGCCATCTTTCGAGTGAGCTGTGAAACCAAGAGTTCTCACCCGCCTGTTTAGGTGGACTCTATGGCGTTATTCAAAAAGAGAAGGGAGTTTCTCCTGGTGTCCTCAGCAACAATTCTCTGGATAAAATTGGTCGTTCACCTCACGGCTGTTTGTGACACCTCACTGGTTGCTGCGTTCACCTATAAAAACGGTCCCTACGGTTTGACAGTCATTTACGTTGAAGTACTTTGAGGCATTTTGACGTTAAAGATGCTATTAAATTTCACCCCGGCTCAATAAAATAATACGACAGAGGAATACTTGCATCCATTACGAAACCATTTCCAGAGGACTTTCGTCCACTCAGGGGCACGGTTAAATTACCCGGGAAATAAGCTGGGAGAAAACACTCTCAAAGAAATGCAAAAATGTTTTATTAAATTGGGTACAAAAGGAAGTGAAAAACGAAATCACACTCCCACGCTTAAGACCTGAAAACTCTGACTTCTCGCTCACTTCAGTTTCAAAGTTGTGGAGTTGTTTTTGATCAAGTGTTTGATGTAATTTGCTTCCCGTGAACTGTTAGATGTCAGTCCTAACTAATAACGCTTTAAAAATTGCTATCGAGCCCTTCTAACGCCTTGGCAAGATGGACTAGATTTGTCACCTCACATCACTGCTCGAAGCAGATGCAGCAAAATTCAGCGTTATTCAGATATTAAACAAAACCTGAAGCAACAATTCACTTGATGAAATTATGGGGCAAAATATGTGGCACGTCTTAAGCCGAAACAGTGCTCGTGTGTTTCTTTACTCAATGGAGTTGTTCCTTAATCAACGCTGTAACAGTTTCTGGTGCCCTCTGTAACCGCTGCTCCTGATCAACTGGCCACTGGCTAGTGGTGGGAGGGGGCAAAACATAAGAAGCTGATGTTAACAAAGTTGTTTTCTTGATGTTGGGGCATAACGTGGGAAGGGAATTGCCTACTGATGTGGGGGCTTGGCGTGTAGGATTCTCTGGCGTTCAAATGTCCTCTTTCAAACCAATAACAACGGATAATAATCCTGCTTGCAATTGGTAGGTACGGCGCCTTTCACGGCAGGAGGATGGCTCAGAACTGTGCGTTTCGTGGGGAACGGGAATGAAATAGACACTCGAAAAGAAAGCTAAAGGGTGCAGGGGAGCGAGAGGGGGAGCATTTGCTTTGTGCTGGTTCGGCTAGACTTTAGCCTCATACGCTGTGAAGTGCTTTGAAGCATCCTCCTGACACGAAGGGCGCTATATCAAACGTGAGGGTTTGTTTGTTTATTTATTAGACTGCGCCGGGCGGCCCACGGGGAAGGTAAACGCCAGCATAGACTCGCTGGGCTGATTGGCCTGTTTCTGTGCCGTAACTTTCTGTCGTTCTGTGAACAAGCAAGGCTCTTACAGGGAACTTGTCTTGTGCTTTGCTTTAGCTCCAATTTACAGTAGACCTAACCCAATGTACATGGAGGACAAGTTGGACTTCAGGCATGAGAAAGACTTCGCTGAAAGTAGGTATCCGAATGCATCTGTCCTGTGAAAGGAGAGCTATTATCTTTGTATTACTCTCAACTGATTCTCTTGGGAGGAGTGATTGATTGCCTTTATTTAATGCCTCGCAGATCGCAGAAAGTAACTCTTATCAAAACCTCAAAGAGAAGCCTTGGTTATGACCCATTTTGTCGATGTGAGCATTTGCTTAGTTGCATTTGGAAAAGGCAGGCATTTCAAAAGGACGCATCTCCCAAGATTATGCAGTGGAATAATATGAATCAAGCTTCAATCTGCTTGACGGCTGCATCCGCAACAGTGCACTTGCGAATTATTAAGAATACCGTGCTATATTTGCCCGTTTTCCTCAAATAATTCAGTAGTTTGTGAATTTAAGATGTGCTGGATTGTCGGGCGACTAATGAATGGTAACACCATTTGAATTCTGGAGATGAACGGTAGAATGGAGATGAAACCGAAAGAGGCTTCGTTCAACGGAATAAGAGATTACCGCTCTCCCCTCCCTCCTCAGCCCCCACCGTTTCCCTTCCCGTTCCGTGTCCCATGCAGTACAAAATTGAGAACCTGCTTAAAGAGTAGCCCGGATTGACGAAGTCTGAACTTGCCCCATTCTACTCCACGACATAATGGGTCGGAGATTCAAAGCCGCTGAGGTCTGTCACGTGCCTTTCGTTAAACATTTTCCAATACGAAGATGAAACAACTGCAATCGCTCTTCTTAGTGATCAGGCCCCACTATGTCACCGTGTCACCAGGACGTACTGTCTTCTTTCACTTGCGGTATGCAACCGAAGTCAATGGACGTAAGTCTTTCAAGTGATGTCGACAAATGTACACTTCTCTCACTCTGGTTAAATCCTGCACTGCCTTCCAGTTAACGCCTCCAGTGTTAAAAAGTATTCATTGTAATAACACTTCATGAGAAGGTTAAAATAGCATGGAACGAGAGCCCAATTTGACTCGAAGTCTATTATCCACAAACGTGTTTAATCCACTTCCATTTAACCTTAGAAAAGGGTTCAGGAAAGTTCCTAACAACCCCTCTTCCCCCAGGCAAAGTAGCAAAGCTGCATAAAATCCATCGGACTTAATATCCTTTCTCAGCGTGACATTTCTTTGGTGTCGCGAGCTCAGGAACTGTCTGAGGTGGAACAAGTGCTCTTTAGGAACTTGAAGTATTTCACACCGACCCACGAGAACTCTGTACCAACCCGCCATCACCTCAGACTGATTCTCACAAGTCGATGTGACTTGCTGGAGATGAACTGAAAGGCAATGGAAGTTATGTCCTGGGATGCTTTTGTGTTGCAAACTTTATACTACATTTTGCAGTTTTTTNCCCCCATTTAAGTCGTTTTTCGACCCCATTGTCTTCCACACAGCGTTATCTCGGTTACCTTTTGAGGGGGGTTTTCAGAAGGCAGATAGGAAGAAACTGTTTCCACTGGGTGGCAACCAGAGGATGTAAATTTAGGATTATTGCCCAAGAACATTAAAGGGAGAAGTTAGGTGATTTTCTTTTTATACACAGAGGATTGTTTGGACATGGAATGACCTACCAACAATAGTTGTTGAAGCGAAATCCAGATAATAGCTTTTACAGAGGAAATAGACAAATAATTGATTGGCTTGCAGGGAGAGCTGCTTAAACTCCGCACCTCCAACTGGTGGAACCATCGCTCAATGGGAAAGGCCGTGTATCCGAGCTGTGGACAAGAAGATGGTGGTAATGGTCTTACGCATTTCATGCTGAGTGTGTTGCCCTCCAGGATGCTCGCAGGGAGTTCCTGCTGCCTGTCGTCCACCTAAGTGAGGGTTCAAACCCGCGCTTCTCGGATGTCAAACGGCTAACAAGTGACTATCCTCCTGGGTGGGGAGGTAAGCAGAGTCTCCTTGGAGCTGAACTAGATCTCTGTGGCAGTCTCCATAGTCCAGGCGGGTCCACAGTACTCCAGGATGCTGCTGATGACAGCACAGTCCAGCCTGGCTCATCAACAGGATCGGGAAGGGCAGACCAGTCACTGGGAGCAGGGAATCCTCCCGCTCAACTCCTGTTAACCCTCCAAGCCAAAGCCCTAACAGATAGGGTGGTCCTAGCTGGACAAGCAGCGGGAAAGCTTGCCTTGAAAAGCAAAACTAGAAGAGGTTATAAGGGAGGGTGGGTAGGTAGGGGAAGAGGGTTAGCATAACCACCAGTGGTTATATATTATTATATTATTATTATTATAATTGCCGCCTCCTCTCCGATCAACGCTATGAAAATGTCTTTAGAATCAATTTCAATCGTAACCAGTTTTCACCCATCTCTTTCTCTTAAAAGGTATTAATAGACAACGTTTGCAGGGTGTCTGTTTTACGTTGAAAACTACTTTGTAGGAGATGGGAGGGAAAAATCCTTCCAACGAGTCTTGCTTGAGGCTCATTAATTTCACGCTTGTCTTCTGGTTGCAAGCTCAAAATCTAATTACGTAACCTTTTTGCATTATTCATTCCATTCAATTATCCATGTTTCTTGCCCCTCATCTTTTCTCCAATGAAGCAAATTCGTTCCTGTCAGACTAACGTGATGATTTCGGAGTCCTTGAATTACGCTAGTCATTCAGGGTTTTTTTTAGGCTTTTGTTTGGGGTGACAGTCTATGGTCTACACCTCTTGCCCGTTAGTGGAGTCCTGTAGCTCCAGTGGTTAGAGCACTCGCCTCGCAAGCGAGAGACCCGGGTTCGATTCCCGGCAGGATGAAATGTTAGGCATTTTCCAGGGGTAATAAATCTTTTAAAAAAATTTTTTTAAATCGGTCACTTCAATCCACGACTGTTTGTGGGACCCTGCTGTGCGCAATTGGCTGCCGCGTTTCGCCCATAAAATACACCGTCAATTCACTTTACAGTATATTCTGTGAAGCGCTTTGAGACGTCTCGAAGACGTGATAAGGCGCTATATCAAATGCAAGGATTGTTATGATTATTATATATGTGAATGCAGACAAGTGAGTGCTGCCAAGCTAATTGACCATGGAAGGCATGGTCTGTGATGACAGCACAGTCAGCCTGGATCATTGGCAGGATCAAAGGGCAGACCAGTCATCCCACTCAGCCCCTATTAATCCTGCAAGCCAAAGCCCTAACGAGTAGGGTGGTCTTAGCTGGACAACCAGCGGGAAAGCTTGCCAGATGGCAAGGTGTGTGGTTTTAACTGGTTAGACTCCAGCAGTTACCCCAACGCACACTCCGGCGTCCGAAAGCTTGGCTCTTGCCAACCTGCGCTTAATAATCTCTAGAATTAGGTAAGGGAGAGAGATTGCGCATTCCATTCCAACAATTTATCTCTGGAATTTCCCTGTGTAGGTGTAATGCATGGAAACCTGAGTTTGGTTTGGATATTCTTAATCACGATGATGGGTTTCCGCATGTTTGAGACACCCAGCTGACCCCTCAAAAATGGAAGACATCACACCCAAGCCAACCTCCTACTCATCCGGCAGCCATACATGCATGGTTTCCAGTTTATGTCGCTTGATGGTGATCGGAGCCTCACAATTCCACATGGTCTTAGCCTTAAAGCTGTTAAGCCTTGAAAATTTCTTAAATTCAACCTTCATATGGAAGCCCTTTTCTGAGGTTCCTTTTAAGACCATTATTGAACCCCCAAGTGTTGCCTTTGCTCAGATCAGGTAACTCAGCGCAGAAAAGTATTCGAACATGCGATCTCCTGGACTGTATGGTTCACTGGACCACCAGCTATCCTTCCTGAACCTTTGTCACTGCACCAATTTGAAAACAGGGACCCGGAGGTTACCCATAACAGACAAAATATGATCTTACCAACGTTCTAGGTAAGGTAGGATGGAAGGTTTCACCTCGCCACCGAAGTCTTTTGAGTTGTGTTGCAGTACTTGCTCTGCCTTAATTAGATCATTTTTTTAGATAGTTTATTTAGGTTAGATATTTAGCCAATTATATCAGTCAATAATTATGTCCCAATCTTGTTCCAAATCCTCTTCATGGATTTATCAATCGATAATCCTTCACCTGACGTGGAATGCACTGTATTGTGGCAGTGTTGTAAATAGCTTTGCAGGGTATTGTTGTTTGACATTGTGGTGTGCCATTTGATTCTGGTGCAGTATCATACCCACATCTTCATTCAGAATGCATTACCCATGTCCAATTCCCTGGGTTACAATGCGTGTGGCAGACACAATGCCTGGGAACCCATTCTCGATGGTGACTGATGATGAGCCTTCCACAAAGTGTAGGCGAGAAAAATCCTCGGCATTTTTGCTTTAGATCACTGGAGCAGTGCATTAAGTGCATCGGTGTAACTTGTCGAGCTGTTTATGTGGCTTTGCTCAGACGCGTGGATATTTAGTATCGGAGACATCGCTATTTCTGCATTTGCCCGTTTTTATTTCTGTTTTCTCCCATTAACATGATGCAGAGCACGTTTGTCATCGCATTTGATATTTTACGCGGTTTTTGGTTAAAAAAAAAGAGCCTTCGGGGTTTTTTTTTTTTTCTTTTTTTCGCCAGGAGGTGTTGGCTTGCATGTGGTATTTATTTGGCTGCGGAGTTTTGCTGTAACGACCACTGCTTGTGGCAGATTTGCTTCCTTGGTTGTTCGTCAGACTGACAGCCGTGCCCCCTGCAGCAGTCAGTGAGAGGCGGCACTGGCGTAATTAACTGAGCAAACATCATCAGAATCTTCTCCTGTGTTCGTGTGATTTGAAACGTCGTAGCTTTCCCCTCCTCCCCCCCCACCTCCCCGCTCCCCACCCCCAACTCCTTACTCCAGGGTGAATTGCCAATTAATTTTATATGTGAGCGAATTAAGTCAGGAGCCGTAGTCGCTCACTGGAGCGCACTGGATACGAGGTGACGTCTGTTTAGAATCTGTTTCGGTTATCCTCTGATGGTGACAGTATCCACGGAGGCTATTATATTATTATTTATGTGATTATTAGGTTATGTATGTTATTATAAGGTTGGCTTTATGATGGTTAACAAGTGAAGATGCAGTCCTGGCTGGTCTCCAACACTCCACCTTCACACAAAGTCCACCTCATCCAGAACCTTGCCACCCTCACCCTTGTCCTTGTCCGCACCAAACTCCACATGACCCATCGCCATGTTTTAAGAGTGTCCACACCAGACAGAGACGCTCACATGTATGCCATCCAGACACGGAAATTTCCCTGTGTCTGTACTGGAATGCGCACACTCTCCCTGGAGGGATGCACCCTGCTCACCAAATTCCAGAGAGTATCAGGCATAGGATGGCCGGCTTGGGGACCCCAGAGCGCGCACCGGGGTACCCCTGGAGTCCAACCAACAACAAAACCGTTTGGCAAGATTTCCGCTGCTTGTCCAGCTAAGACCACTCGGCTACGCATTAGGATTTTGGGTTGCGTGTTTAACAGGAGCTGAGTGAGATGACTCTCTGCCCCCAGTGACTGGTCTGCCCTTCCAGGTCCTGCCGATGAGCCAGGCTCGGGCTGTGCTGTCATCAGCAGCGCCCTGGAAAACTGCGGACCCGCCTGGCTCAGGAACCGGACTGGACATCGTCACAGAGGCTTGAGTCGATTCCGACCTTCGTGGCCAAGCAGGTCACCTTGGAGCCAACTGAACTCCCAAGGAGACCCCCCCCCCGCTTACCTTTCCCTCATCCCCGCTCCCCAGTTAGAAGGACTTGTCCTGAATCGCAGGCTTATTTCTTAACGCGGAGGAAATGAACACGTGCCCTCAAAAGTACAGGCGACGAGAGAATATAACGTGTACACCCAGAGGCCTTTAGCACATCGCCCGAAACAGCGTCGAGTCGGGAACAAAATCGAGATGGTGCCACAACACAGCGAGCTTGCTCGCGTTCAACTGCACTGCAAGAACGATGGAAGTGCATGCCAGCTGTTGCCATGGCAATCGGTCCGCAAGTTGACGTCAGTTTTTGTGCTCCGAAGGCTGGGGCTCCTGCCAGCGTTTAAGGGTATTTGGACAACCACTGGGGCAAACACAACAAGATGTAGCCGGAGTCAATCAATCTGCAGTTATCGGCTGTCTGACGTTATCGGCCTTGTTTCTTTCCACATAATCGAGCCGTTGACGTGCGCTACGTCACTGAAGGAGACCGAGAGGCTTCAGGCGCTAGCTCTTTCACTGGAGCTGCTTTTTCTGCTCCCCCACCATCCCACTCCCCCGCCACCCCCCCCGCCCCACCCCTGCCTCTTCCCGATATTGTTTGATGTCGCTTCTCCTCACATCGCGTGTTTATCAAATTCTCTTTTAAATGTTATAATCTTAGCTTCAATAACCTCTTCTGGCAGAGCACTCCATGTTCTAATAATCCTCTCTGTGTATATATATATATATGTATGTGTATATATATATGCGTGTTTGTGTGTGTAATAAAGCCTAATCTCCCCCGTAACATTTCCAGTGAGTTTCCCCCTCGCCCCCCCCCCCCCCCCCCACTCCCCCCACACACACGCACACCGTTACCAATCCACCAACCAGCAAAGCATCATCTTTCATGACTTACCCTCTCAAAAATCTTTTCAGAATAAACATAGCGATATGGTGGCTTTGAGGTCGGCATGACGTCTCAAAAGCGCTTCGCAGGATTTACTGCAAAGTGTAGTGACTGTGTTTTGCAGGTGATCTCTGAAGACCCTCTCCTTAACCTTCTCTGTTCCAGGCAAAATAGATAGTGCATTTAAAAAAAACAACAACCAATGCACTTACAAATACACTTGACAGAAATATCCTGTAAAGTGCTTTGAGGCATTTTGATCGCGCATTAAGGCACTGTATCAAATGCCAGGATTATTATTATGCATGTAAGAAATACTGAAAGTTTTCAAGTTGGGCAGGACACGAGCACACGAAGAATAAGCCTGGTTTTGTAGCTTAACGTTGAGCGAGTGACTTACCTTTTTGCTTTCTTTACCAGAAAACCACTCGGCCCCACCTGATGTCACCACTTACACGACAGAGCACTCGATACAGGTCGAACGCCCTCAAGGCTCCACGTCAAGAGCTGCACCAAAGTATGGAAACGCTGAACTGATGGAGACCGGCGATGGTAGGTGCCGTCTCCTTGCTGACTTGCTATTTCAGGAGCCGCCCCGTCATTCGGTGTTTTACATCGCTTAACGTTCTCCCTGAATTTTAATGTGACAAGTGCCAAAGCCAAGCTTGAGTGGCTTTTGCTGCCAGCAAAAGTTTCTTTCGGGATTTTAATTCAGTTGGCGCTAATTTGTTACTTGCCTAATGATGTTCTGAGTCATTCGCCCACAAAATACCCGAGTCGCTCCATCTTAGGTTTGTATCGTGTGAACCGCTTTTAAGACGTCCGCTCGAGGCGAAAGGCGGTATATCAAATGTATTGTTATTCTGTATTCTCAAACAGTTTGCTCAGGTGTCCTTATCTGTCCTTCCATCAGAATATTGTATTTGCTAAAAGTGACGCAATAATAATAATCCTTACGTTTAAAGCAGCGCCTTATCGCGTCGTCGAGACGCCTCAAAGTGCTTCACAGAATATACCGTAAAGTGCAGTGACTGTGCATTTTGTGGCAGCTAATTTGCGCACAGCAAATTAGAGAGTCCGATAAACACACTGATTGGGACCGACCCACTGTGGATATGAAAACAGTGCTGATATCAGGGGAATTGCGATGTATAGCATGAAGAAAAAATATCTTTCATCAGGAGTCATACTGACTATGGTAGCACACTGTTGCAACCTTTTCTGTGTCTCAGTTTCTCTCTCCCAAGTGGCTTCCTTTCTCCCCCTCCCTGACAAAAACAAACACATATTACCAATCCTTATTTTCTTTCCCCAGCTCCCCTCTCTCTCTGCCCCTCTCTCTCTCTCCCATTCTCTCTCTCATAATACATCATTTTAGCCCACACAACATAGTCAATTCATTTTACAGTACATTCTGTGAAGCGCTTTGAGGCGTCTCGAAGATGTGATGTGGCACTACACCAAATGCAAGGATACTCTTATGATAAATGCGTGAATTATTAGAACTAAAACCCTTTAAACAGCAGCATTTAGCTCGTGACATCGCTCCTCTTGACAGTATATTCTGTGAAGCTCTTTGAGACGTCTCAACGACATGATAAGGCCCTATATCAAATGCAAGGATCATTATTATTATTATTATCATCATTAAAGAGCCGAGGTGTTGAGGTCAATTTAAGACATCGCACTTGCAACAGCCACAGGGGAGTTAAAAGATAATTTTTTATGTGAACATTTGTTTAGCTTTGAGGAATGGCTTTCGCATTACAAGCCTAGTAACGAGAGAATGTTTATCATTGAAATCATCTTAGCAACAGAGCTGTCATCACTTGACCTCTTTATTTGCGTGCAACATGAGTAAGACTGCATTTGGATGATCACGGGCAAAAGTTGTCCTGCTTCCAAAATAGTGCAAACAACAATGTGTGGATTTCTTAAATAATGTAATCGTCAACCTTAGAGAAAGGGGAATAAATAAATCGTGGCGTAAACACTCTCCACTGAACTGCACTAATAAATGCGAGCATATGGCTTTTTTTGGGGGGGGAGATAAATAGTTCGGATTTGCGCCTCGTGGAAATTGCTTGTTTCACGATCAGTTTGCTGAGGCTGAGATAAAAAAAAACATCGTAAAATGGTCAAACGGGAACGTGAAGAACCAGGAAGGTACAAATTGTCCCTTTGCTGTGACTCGCTGTTCTCGTAATTTAGGCAAAATAATATTAAGAGTGTCTTTATTTGGAGCTGAGAAAAATTGCGTTCTCTTGCTGGTAGTTGTTGCGGCGAATGTTAACCACAATAATCTTTGCATTTCATACAGCGATTTATCGTGTTGTCGAGACGTCTCAAAGCGCTTCGCAGGATATACCCTGTACAGTTTGCATGACACCAGTGCTAACTATTGGCCTGCGTTGCCAACAGTGTTCAGATATCACCAGCTCTCTGACAATACAGCATTCGCATTGCGTGGACAGATTCTGTTTGTTTCCGGTCGGCACAAGGAGCCCTTTGTTTAATATCTCCAGGAACAGGAGGAGGCCATTCAACCCGTCGCGCCTGCTCCGCCAACTTATTACGTCATTAGCAGATAGTGTAATGAGCATCCTAATCCTTGCATTTGGTACAGCGCCTTATCACGTCGGAATGCCGTCTCAAAGCGCTTCGCAGGATTTACCGTGGAATGTGGAGTGACTGTGCATTTGGAGAGAGGAAAATGAGTTAATGTTTCAGGTCGATGACCTTTCGTCAGAACTGGGGGATGTTGGAAGGGAGAAGTTGATAAGGACTAATAAATGTCTTCCAACATTCCCCCAGTTTTGACGAAAGTCATTGACCTGAAACGTTAACTCACTTTCCTCTCTCTATAGATGCTGCCTGACCTGCTGAGTGTTCCCAGCGACTTCTGTTTTTATTTCAGATTTCCAGCATCTGCAGTATTTTGCCTTTTGTTTTAACATGTTGGGACATCCTCCCGACGTGGAAGGCGATATATATATATATATATACATGTGTATATTATTATTATTATAAATTTGCCTTGTATTGATTTTTGTTTTGGATTCTTTCCAGGAGTTCCAGTGAGCAGCAGAGTATCTGCCAAAATCCAACAGCTGGTGAACACCCTTAAACGGCCCAAACGCCCCCCATTGAGAGAATTTTTTGTGGACGATTTTGAAGAACTATTGGAAGGTAAGCATTGGAGGAATCGGAGCTCACGTCGCTATGTAGGAGTGAGCTCTGCAGGGCCAAACCACGAACTTGCTCGGTTAACTCAGCGTGTTTTCTAAGGAACATTGTTAATGCCAATTAAAGGACCTTTCATGAAACACTCCTTTAAGCAGGGGACCACAGATGATACTGAATTCAATTCCAAATTCCCCAAACATTCGATGATTGACAATGGAAACCTTAAACAGTGGTAGGGCCGTCTAAGAAGGTGGTGAGATGCCTCTGGTCTGAATGTGAGTCAGCCTGCTCCACTGTCACTACCATCATTGAGCTTCTGGGCGATAAGCATTTACCAACCACAGACAGTAAGTGTTTCCAGTGGAGCCGTGCGGTCGAGCCTGTCTGTCTGTTTACCCAACTGCCACGCTTTCCGGCGGGGATCGTGGGATAAGAATCAGGAAGGAGTAGGAACACTGGCAGCATTTTCCCCTCTCTTTGTCCAAGGCACTGAAGCAAGTCATAGGACTGCCATTAGAGTTCTGCCTCAGATCAATTCACTTGGCAGAGATCTGGAACCTGGGACTTTGCAAACCTTATGGCTCAAATTCTACACCAGACAGACAGAAGGAGCATCAGCAACTGAACCGTGAAATCGGAGGGGATTGAGTGAAGCGGCACCAACCGTTTCAGTAAAAAAAATTTTTTTTTTCACCCCAAAATTTCTTCCCGACTCTCACTGTGCAAATATTGAAGCAGATAAAGTGGCATCTCTGGTGCAAGTGCAAGTCCAGCAGGAAATCAAACGTATAGTTACCGGCAGATGTAATATTAATAACAGGCTGCCTTGAGATGCTGTTTGAGACGCTGGAGATAATTATAACGGAGGCTGACACTTGCTGACTCACGCTGAGGAGCGAGGATACATTTTAATGAGTTGCCACTGCTCCGATCTTTGTTCACAGGGACTCAAGGTTAATATCAGGAGTACAATACCACAGTTAAATTGGAGGTTAGCTTAAAAAGAAGCGAGTGCTTAATGTTCAGTGCGTTGCAAAACGGGTTGTCAGTGCAAAAAAAATTGGGGTCACTGTTCATTTTTTAGCATGCAATGTGTTATTTTCTTTGCTAAGTCCAGGGGTTGGATATTGAATCCATATAGGATGTATTTGTGATTTGTGCGTTACAAGAGCAACAAATTTTGACCCTCAAGGCATGGAACTGAAAGTTGGTTTGCAGTAATCCAAAGGAGGGCTTCAAAAATAGCCTCCCGCCTCCAAAAGCAAATCTCAAGAGCTCAGTACTTTGGCTCACGCCTGAGATTGAAAAGCTGTCTTGTGAACCTCTTCCAGCAAATTTTTTTTTTTTTTTTTTACATTGCACAGAATTTTAACTCATCTTTGAACCGCTCGGGCGATGAGACATGTTGGCAACAGTCTTCGTAGAATATTACTTCAGTGAATTTGTTCTCCTTGTTTTATAAAGGAGGCTTTGTGTGTAGGATGTGAACTTGCTTTTTATTTCGGTCTACACTGTGCATGGTTCGGAAAAAAATATACAAGCTTTTCCCACTTTTCCTCCCATCTTTGTCTCCTCGGCTTTATTTTGTTTTGTCCCTTTTCTCCTGAAGGCTGTAAATTATTACTGGTTAATGTTCTGCAAGAGCCGGCATTAGGCACTCCTTACCATATGGACATTCTCGATTGGTAGCACTGTCGCCTACGTTCGCGGGTTCAAGCCCCACATTGGGACTTTGAACTCACATAGTTCAGGCTGACAGTCCAATCCATTCCTGGGGGAACCCTGCTTTGCTGGAGGTGCCTGTCCAGGAGGCCATCAAAGATCCCAGAGCTTTACCAGCTTTCGAAAAAGAGAAGGCTGTTTCATCCGGTATTCTGGCCAACAATCCCCCAAAATAAAATCGGTCGTGTCTGAATGTCTGATGTTGCTGCGTGCAAATTTGCTATCGCATTTCCCCTCAAAATATACCCAGTCACACCACTTTACAGTAATCCTGGGAGGCGCTTTGAGATGTCTCGATGACGTGATGAGACGCAAGATCAAATGCAAGGATTGTTATTATTGTATTCTTCAAGGCGGAAAGTGCCTCCAACTCTTGCTGTACTCACTTGATCCCACTATTCACTATTAGAAAAAGCTCAGGATTGTCACCAGAAGTGTTGGGGGTGGTGATGATTCATGTATTTACCAGAATGTTATTGTAATGTGAGATTCTTTGCCACAAGTGGCTACTGAGGCTGAGATCACAATGACATTTAAAAGGGAAATCGGATAAGCAGTTTAACAGGAACATGACAAAAGGATTTTATTGTGAAGTGTAGTGACTGTGTATTTGTAGGGGACACTTGGGGATGAGGAGACCTGTAGCGTCTTGGTTAGAACACACACTTCGCAGTGCGAGAGGACCCAGGTTCGATTCCCGGGCGGGTCGAAACCTTAGGCAAGTTTCCTCACTCCACACGCCTCTGTTTACCGAGCAGCAAACTACGAACCCGGTTGTTAGTCAATTGTGTATCGCTTTCTCGAGATAATAATCCCTTCCAAAATATAATAATTTGGTCACTCAATTCAAGACAGTTTGTGGGACAGTTTGTTGACTGCCGGGTTTCACTCGCAAAAATATACAGTTAATTCGCTTACAACATATTGTGTGAAACGCTTTGAGACGTCTCAATGACATGATAAGGCGCTATATCAAATGCAAGGAGTACAACTATTATTTAGTAGTAGATAACACATGGGGAGGAGCGAGTACCAGCATCAGCTTACTCCTAAAATGGAAGGTCTATGATTCTGTGTTCACATTAGGGTCTGGATGATGATTTTGTTTTTTCACTACTCCTTAGCTTGTCTGTGTGTGTGTGTGCTTGTGTTGTACATATACACATATATATCAATGTTGTAATATTTTACCTGAAATAAAAATGTTTAGATAAATCACCACTGTTCATAAGGAAGTCAGAAGAAATATAATAAAACCCTGAGTCTTTCATTTTTATGCTGCAGTTCAACATCCAGACCCTAACCTGCCGAGACCAGAGGGAGCCCAGATGTTGGCCGTTAGAGGAGAACAGCTGGGAGTAGTAACTAATTGGCCGCCGTCTCTGGAAGCAGCCCTCCAACGCTGGGGCACGATATCTCCTAAAGCTCCCTGTCTGACCACCATGGACACCAATGGGAAACCACTTTACATCCTCACATATGGTACTTGGCTTCTTTTGGCCCACTTGTCTCTGTTGAACGTTTGCGAGATGGGGGCAACCTGATCGGGGTGGGGATTGCATTTGTTTTGGGGGTAATCATTCCAACAAAATGTATTAAAAAAATAATAAATTGGTCACTTCAAGCCATTTGTGGGACGCTGTTGTGCGCAATTGGCTGCTGCGTTTCGCCCCCAAAATATACAGTCAATTCACTTTACAGTATATGCTGTGAAGCGCTTTGAGGCGTCTCGAAGACGTGATAAGGCGCTGTATCAAATGCAAGGATTATTATTATTATTATTATTATGTCTCACCCAAATCATGAATTTCTGAATCACATGAATCACAGCTTCACCCCCTCCACTGGTCAATGCAATCTCCATATATTGGTGCAAAATTATAAACGTGTAATGAACTCTTCTGCAATAACCCGGGGCAGAGATAAGGTGACTTTGACATTCTGCTCAAAGTGTGCACACTCATCATTTCGTCTATTTGGGTGATTGGTGACGCATGCATTGTCAAGGCTCCTTCGCATATCGAGCAAGGCCACTAATTCGGATGGATTGTCAGAAGCGACGGGTGCCATTGTGTCAGTGTTTGTGTTTGTCGGTGATGAGAAGTGTGAGCTTTTGTGACTCCGATGTAACCGCCAATGTAAAATCCGAGATTATTTGAATGATTATTAAGCGACCGACTAATGTAAGTGAATGATTAATTTCGTAGTTCCAAACAATGCTGGTGATGGTTAGAATGTTACTTTGATGAAATAATGATCTTTAACAGTGACCTTTCCGATCTTCTACGTTGCCATTGCCAATTTTACTCTTGACTAGGGTACCCTAACAGAAACTGTGATGAACATCATTATTACAGGATATTATGTGTAATCGATTACAAGGATTTTACCAAACATATTAGCGGTGAAGGTCACTTCTTGTGATAATTATTCCATTAGTTAGTCCTTAAAAGGTATTTTTTGACAGGGTAAATAGGGAGAAGCTGTTTCCACTGGTAGGGGAGTCAGTGCCTAAAGACTGCAGTTATGCAATAGTCACAAGAGCAAAAGGAGAACTTGGACAAATATTATCACTCAGAGTTGTTGGGATGTGGAATGCCCAACTAAGTAAGGTAGTGGAGGCAGAGTTCATTGAGGGTTTCAAGAGGGAAGCAGGCAGGTATATGAAGAATAGAGGATGAATGGGATCTGGGAACAAGGCAGGGTTTAGTGGGATTGAATGAACACCTTTCTCTGAGAGCCAGTACAGACTCGATGGTCTGAATGTACTGTAAATGTCTTTTATTCTGTAAGAATTAACCGGAGAGGTTGATTGGGGGAGGGGAGAGCGTTCATGAATAAATTTCAGATTTCCGGAAAATAGACCCATTTGTGCATTTTCCTCGAGGGATTCCCATGTTCAAGCTTGTCAACTTTTCTCCAATCTCATTTGACTTTCAACCCCAATGAACAGCTCTCATTAGTATGTAATAATTCATGACAAAGGGCGACAAAGGTTAGGAGAAAATACCAAAACGATGGCATCCATAAACCATTTTGTGGAGATAAATAAATGCTGGATTACATGGTGTAGGAAATGTCACACAGCTCTGTTGACCAATGATGCATGACATAACTCAGCTGTGATTTGCTATTAAGATGGGGGTTGCGACTCAGATATCTGTCACAGGGTTGATTTTTTTNATATGTCTTGCTCAATTGCCTCGTTGGCAAATAGATTATCCTACCTGGTTGGGGATTAGGAAGAAGATAGGAAAGGAGACAGAGAGACAGAGAGGGGGATGGGGGAAGATGGTTTGCTTAGTTTTCCTTGTAGTAAGTAAACTTGCATGGGTGGTGGGAGCAGTAGCCTTTAATGCAAAGATTAAGAAAACCTCTGCCACCAGTTTTTCCCAGTAAAATGGAGAAATCTGTGTGCAAGCGCAGAAGGCAAATTGAAAGAAACAAGTAATACCATTTTAGCATGAATTTTGGATGAGTGTGTCATGGAGTCCTATAGCGTATTGGTTAGAGAACTCGCCTCACAAGCAAGAGGACCCGAGTTTGATTCCCAGGCAGGCAAAATCGTAGGTAAGAGTCCTTACTCCACCTACCTCTGTTTACCCAGCAGTAAGTAGGAACTCAGTTGTTAGTCGATTGGCAGATCGCTTTCTAGGGGTCCATCCCCCAAAAAATTGGTCATTCAATCCACGGCTGTTTGTGGGGCACTGCTGTGCGCAATTGGCTGCCGCGTTTCACCCGCATAATATACAGTCAATTCACTTGACAGGACATTCTGTGAAGTGCTTTGGGATGTGTCCAGTGACATGATAAGGCGCTATATCCGAACGCAAGGATTAGTATTCTTTTTTCAGTATAAGGTCTTACAGCGCTATTGAAAGCGTGCTACTTGATTCCCAACGTTAGATTTCACAGAATGCCTTGGTCAGAGAGATTAGCGATCTGCAAACCCTCGAGTCAAACTGCTCAGATGGTTAAACTCTGATGTGTTCTTTAGTGTACAATTAATATCAACTTGTTTGCAGCTATCTCTAGAGGCCCTTGGGGGATGGAACGGCAGCAATGTTACGGTAAGGGGATGTCAGCAACAGTGTGCCGAGCATTGATTTGAGGTTGCCAAGTTTAAACCCGTCACGACCCTTCTATCGTGACTCTGCTTTCCCTGAGTGATGTGCTTTCCCTTCGTGAATCTTCCTCCCTTTTGTTCTTTTCGCTCTCGTCACATCCTAATGATACAGACGACAACAGTGACCGTTCTTGCTTTGTTTCTGACATCTATTATTGGCCACTGATGATTCACAGGGCACTTAATATCTGTCGATTCTTTCCGTTGCGCTCAGATGGGCTCAGTTGACATTGCTGTGGGTTTTGTTTCTTTCTTAAAGCGACGCAGTATTTACAGGCAGTTCTGCTGCTGATCCCAATGGCTCATATTGGACCTTCACCTGTTTTTGCTGTTTATCAGACGCAATTGTGTTTAAATCGGTTGCGTTGCATTACCAAGGTGCACTGAAAAGTAAATCTGTGAACGTTTCATCGTTTGGTTGCTGTTAAATAACACGAGGTCCCAACCACATCCTCGCTAACTGAGGCAGCGCAGAGGGGAATAAGAATGATGGGCAATGTTAGGAGGATGAGCTGTGAGCAATAATTCGACCAGTTACAACTCTTAGACATCTCAGAGGAACTCAACAGAGCGATATAAGATTTGAAATGGGATTGAGAAAGTGAACCCGGAACAATAGCTTTAAATACGCCAGGTTCAAGGTTGCAAAGGGCAATTTCAGGCCAGACACCAGGAAGGGTTACTTTACTCAAATTATAATTAACAACAGGGACATCTTACCAGCAAGGGAGTTGGAGGTCAGGATTCATTGCATCAACCTGATGCTGTTATGGGAGCAAGGTAGAGTGGGGATTCTGGAAGGATGAGCTCAAAATGAATCAAAGGTCCTTCTACATGGAACTGATCTGTGAAAATACCCAAGGTCTTAGCCTTAAAACTATTGCCGTGAACGTTAAGTCTGGGCAGAAATTTTGAAACAGAAATTAAATTCAGTCCTAATGTGCAAGCAGATTTTTCATGAGAACGCCAAAAAAAATGGGCTTTATTAAAATCCAGACTTCCAGTATGGCCAAAGCTCCCACTTTTGCCAGTTTAAAAAAACTCCCTACACTTTTAAGAGTCAGGCTCCACTACTGTTAAACACTCTGAGACGCTAACCTGTGTGGAGGGCGCTATATAAGTGCAAGTTGTCGTGTTGTTGTTGTAGGAGTCCTGTAGCTCAGTGGTTAGAGCACTCGCCTCGCAAGCGAGAGACCCGGGTTCGATTCCCGGCAGGATGAAACCTTGGGCAAGTTTCCTGACTCCACACGTCTGACAATAATCCCTCAAGAAATAAAAACGATAATAATTTGGTCACTCAATCCACCACTGTTTGTGGGACGCTATTGGCTGCTGCGTTTCGCCCGCAAATATATGGTCAATTCACTTTGCAGTATATTCTGTGAAGCTCTTTGATTATTGTACACATGGGAGGAATTACTCAAGTGCTTTGGGATGTTTCAAAATGATATGGTGCCTTCAAATGCGAGTTCTTTCCGAAGAACCTATTACGGATTCCGTCCAATTTTGCTCTCTTGTTTTTAAAATGCAAACTCAATCTGCTTGGGAATCTGCATAAGTGCACAGTTATTCCAACACCCTAGTTACCTGACTTTGAATTAAATTGAAAGCTGATATGGAATAAAGGAGTTTACAATTCTAAATTGCCTCGCAATATTGGGGGAAAAAAAACATCCAATTGTTCGGAATAACCAGTAAGAGTTGGCAGTTGAGGATATGCAATACACCTTATTAATTGATCGTGTGGGAGGTGTTAGGCAGTGTTTGTGCCCATATGAGTGTCCCTGGACAGAAATGCAACGCTTTATCATTTGAAATAATGTAATATTGCAGGGAGAAAAGTGTAGGAGGATTCGCTTTTTTTACAGGGTTCATTTCCTCCAAAATGTTATTGCCTTTCAACGTCTTAATAATGCAATTTAAATCTTAAACATCCTTTATTTATCCCAAATCCCGCCGAATTTATTAAGTCTAATTAAGGAAGCTTAACTATAACAGTGCAACAGCTTTCTAAACATCTGTTTGACGATTGAAGAGAACCAGTTGGCTCAAAAGTCGAGGAAATGATTTTTAATATATCGTTCAGAGTTTTTTTTTCTCTAGTGGGTGTTCGATGTACTGTTTACCCAATAACATTTGAAGTACGTGAATATTGTCGATCTTAAATAGATTTTTTTGTAAATAAAAGTGAATTATGAAGAGCAAAACGAGAGCTTAGGCAATTTTTTTTCACTCAGAGAGTTGTGGAATGTGGAATAATATCCTGCCAAGTAACAACAACAACAACAAGATTACCTGTGTATAGCGCCTTTCACGTCGGGAGGACGGCCCGGGGTGATGGACAATCAGTGTTTCGGACCCGAGCTGGGTGTCGGGATCGGAGAGGGTGGAGGACAGTGGTGGGGGGTGGGGGAAGACACAGTCGAAGGGTCTTGAGACGGGTCTTGAAGGAGGCAAGGGAGGGGGCGAGGTGGAGGGACTGCGGGGAAGCTGAGTCAATCGTGGGTTTCGAGAGGGTAGTAGACAGGTATATGAAGGATAGAGGCTCAAAAGGTTACGGGGATAAGGCAGGACAGTGGGATTGAATGAACACCTTTACACTTTCTGTGATTCTAAGTGAATTGCAGGACATGCAATTGAGGTGGAACCTTTTTCGACTGATTTCAGCTGGAATCCGGCAGTTTTGATCCTTATCGAGGCGCACCGGGTAGATTGAAAGTAATCCGCGGGCGTGCAAAGCAATGTCCCCATCTTCTTCCAAAAGAGTGAGTTTTGGGGGCGAGAATTGAAGGTCGTCTCTCTCTTTCCTCTTTATCTTTCAATAATCCCTTTTTAAAAAATAATCGGGGTCACGACTGTTCGGTGGGACGCTCCGGTGCGCAGTTGGCTGCTGCCTTTTCGCCCGCAGAATATACAGTCAATTCACTTCGCAGTATATTCTGTGACCTGGTAAAGCACTACATCAAATGCGAGGATTATTATCATCATCTCTTTCTCTCTCTCTCTCTCTCTTTCTGTCTTGCTTTCTCTCTTTCTCTCTCTCTCTCTCTCTCTCTCTCTCGCATCTGGTCTGGTGTCATCCTCTTGCACCGTTCAGATGATTTTCGTGTTTGAGTTGAGCGTTTGGTGTGGAGTGTGAACACGCGGCAACGTTCGATCCGGTTTCCCGGCGCGAGGCCAAATGAGGGTGAAGGAGCACGGACCGAATTGGTGAGTTCCTTTAGCCTTTTCCCCCTTTTTGAATGACACCCTGCCCTTGCTGTCACCCAACAGGGAAGCTGTGGACAAGAAGTATGAAGGTGGCCTACAACATCCTGCATAAACTGGGCACCAAGCAGGAGCCAATGGTCAGGCCTGGAGACAGGGTAAGGAATCGGGCTGAACTAGGCAAGCGGGTCGAGCGGCTTCGGGTCAGAGAGCGCGCGGTCCGTCCCGGGCAAAGGGAAACTTCCGTGACTAGACCGCGGACGCACCCGGAACTGCTTCAGGTGCTCTTTAAAGCGTGGGGATGGATTCCCGCGTGGGTCAGGCACCCGGTTGACCGACGAAACGCCCCCGCTTTACTCGTGGCCGGGTCACGCGACGTAAAAGGCGTGTGGGACAGCAACCAGTCGGGGATCGATCGCGCTCAGGGAGGCCACGAGGCGCGACGAACGGAAATGCAGGAGCCGGGCAGCAGACGAGGCCCTGTTTAAGATTGAACGGGGGCGGGGGGGTTAAGGCTCGTCGCTGAGGCAGAGTAGGGGGGTAGTTTGCTCTGAAATACTTTCCGTCCAATCGGCAAACCGCACCCAGCGCCGCAGAACTAAGTGATCATCATCGTTTTACCTCCCCCAAAAATTCCATCGGGCGATGGCGGTGCGGAGGGCTCGGGTTGTCGGATGCACAACAGGCCCCACGTTATCTGTGCTGAGGGGGCAAACAGTGCAGAGGGAGACCCTCGAATCAACAAGAGATGATTCCCCCTACCAATCCCCCCGCTCCCTCTGCTCAGCCGGCTCTGGCTGCTCCACGTCCCCCGACCCACCCGCCCCACCGTTGACGGGAGAGACCTCAGCCACTCTGCCCCCAACCTCTGGAATTCGAATCCCCCAGTCACTCCGCCTCACCCCCTCCTTAACCTCCTTCAAGTCCCGCCTCAAGACCCTCCTCTTCGACCATGCCATCGGCCACCCCCCTTCCCCTCCCTTCCCTTCCCCCCACCCGACCCCAGCTCAGGTCTGAAATGCTGTACACTGTCCAGCGCTTTGGGACATCCTCCCGACGTGAAAGGCGCTGTACAAATGTAATCTTGTTGTTGTTGTTGTGTTGAGTTCAGTCGGGTTAATGCAAGGAGGACTTTGACGGCCGCTGATCTTCTAAACCTTCACTCAAGACGAACCGCGACTGAGTTGTGACGCGGCATTGCACGAACAGACAGCTTTTAGCGCTTTACTTTCCCCATCCAACAACCCCCCCCCCCCCCCCCCACAACCACCACCCCCTACATGTCATTGGGACAAGCAGCACACTATCCGCAAATAACACCGACAGAACTCTCAGTGGTGACTCCTGTTGCTGTGAGGGTGGTTGCTGTTGTAACTAGTCGAGCATGTGAAATCATTCTCTCTTCCTCTATCTTCACCCTCCCTCCTCTGCTCCCTTGGGCACCTACGTGCTCGTAAATCCGATGATTTAGGAAGTACAGCATACTCCTGATAACTCGTCGCTCCAAGGGAAAAGGGCTCAGTGGCGGGTTATCCCGAGTGGCGAGTTGGGCATATGAACGACTTCGACAACAAAATGACATCTATGTAGTGCCTTTTACATCAGAAGGGCCTACCAAGTCACTGGACAGTTAAGGGTTTGCGCCCGAGCTGGAGGTTGGAATCACGAGGCGTGGAGGGTGGGCGGAGGTTACAACTCACCTTTCGGTTCGAAGGATTGTTGCAGCTCGAATGGTTGTTTCGAAATAAAGTCTGCTTCATCCTCTGGACCTTAGGGATATATGAATATTGGGGCATCTCCCGACGTGAAAGGCGCTTTACAAATATAATTTTGTTTGTTGTCATCGTAGGTCACGAATATGGATGATATATCGTTAGGTCACGATTATCCGTAATCCTTTCAAAAAAAAATAATAATCGGTTACTCAATCCACGGCTGTTCGTGGGACGCTGATGTGTGCAATTGGCTGCCGCGTTTGGCCCACGAAACATACAGTCAATAGCTCTGGACCTCTGGAACACTCTCCCTCTATCCCTCCGCCTCGTCCCTTCCTTCCCCATCTTCAGGCTTTCGACCTTGCCTCCGGTCACCTCCCCCGGCTTGGAGTCAGGAGTCAGGCTCCGCCACTGTCAAGCGCTCTGGGACGCTATCTCTCCCTGTGCGAGGGTCGCTGTTTAATTGCAAGCTGTTATTGTTGAGGTGGGAGGACAGCCAAAGGTACAGTCAAAGAGGAAAATCGTGAGAATGCAACCTGTGTGTAAATACATAGATAAATGCGGCCGGGGATATTGACAGCACAATGCCTTAAGTGTTCGTGAGAGATAAGTCAGGCTCCAGTGATCACGATTGTAATGTAGTTCGGGCATGACATGCGACTGTCTGGATGGCGAAAGGCGAACTCGATGGACCTCGATGGTCTTCTTCCTACCAAGCAAATTCTTGCATTCTTACAGTGTCTCTCTGTTTGCCCGCAGGTAGCCCTTGTTTTTCCAAACAATGACCCGGCTGCCTTTATGGTAGCCTTCTACGGCTGTCTGCTGGCGGAGGTGGTCCCTGTTCCCATCGAAGTGCCCCTTACACGAAAGGTGAGCTGGTTTCGATGAGCTGTTTCGAAATAAAGTCTGCTTCATCTCTCCCAACCGTAGCAACGCAGTAAAAAGTGCAAGCAGATATCTCCATTTTGCTTGCATTTTTTCGTGTATCATTGGGTCCCGATTATCCATAATCCCTTCAAAAAAATAAATAACTCGGTCACTCAATCCACGGCTGTTTGTGGGACGCTGCTGTGCGCAATTGGCTGCCGCGTTTCGCCCGCAAAACACACAGTCACTCTGCCTTCCAGTATGTATTCCGTGAAGCGCTTTGAGACGTCTTGAAGACACGATAAGGTGCAATATCAAATCTAAGGATTATTATTGTTATTATTATAATAGCCTTCAATGCTGTTCCTCTACAATTGTTTTTTTAAAAAAAGGAACAAATAGCAGCGTAAAAAAATGCTTCCCCTGGGAAGTGCCCCGGCAGATCCAGTATTCCTTGGGGAATGGAGAGAATCCTAACATCTCGCCTCGCTTGAGACGGTTTCTCCTTCACCCCAAAGTGCCTGGCTCTGTGATTGACGGCACTGCGGGGGGAGGAGATGTGAGGGTGGACAAGGCATCAGAATGGCCTTTCCTGCGTTAATCCATGCCGGAAAAAATTGATGCCTTAAACGGAGATGAATTGCAAAACAAACCCCGGTCTGGGACGTGTTTCTGTGGCTCATACCTACATTTAAATTGTTCACGATCGCAGCTTGAAGTGTTCGGTTCATCTTGAAGGAGGGAAGTTTGGAGAATTTGGCTGGATTTAAAAAGAAATGTTCAACTTATGCATCCATAAGACGTCTAGAAGATGTGAAAAGCGCTATATCAAATGCAAGGACTATTATTATTATTATTATCTTATTCAGGTTTTTTTTTCATTCTGGACCCGCATTTATTTTTTGATTGAGGGAAATGCACTCAAAAGCGATGGTGGGGTGACACTGCCTGCTGTAGTGTTAGTATCCGGAGACCTGTAGCCTATTGGAGAAATTGGTGTCCTGTAGCGTATTGGTTTGAGCGCTCCCACAAGCGAGAAGACCTGGGTTCGATTCCTGGACGGGGTGAAACCTTAGGCAAGTTTCCTTACTCCACACGCCTCTGTTTACCTAACAGTAAACAGGAGCCCAGTTGTTGGTCGGTTGGCAGATCGCTTTCCGGAGGTGATAATCCCTTCAAAAACATTTCTTTTTTCTGGAAAAATAATAATAATTCGGTCACTTAATCCACGACGCTGTTTTTGGGACACTGCTGCGTGCAATTGGCTCGCCCACAAAATATACAGTCAATTCACTTTACAGTATATTCTGTGCAGCGCTTTGAGACGTCTCAGCGACGTGATAAGGTGGTATATCTCCTTATATATGGTGATTATTATTATTCTTATACACTCGCCGTCACTGTCTTTGTCGGGTTATGGCTACAGTTGATTGTCGTCGGCAAAAAANCAGCTCCTTCAGCAAAAAAACGGACCAGCTGATCCAGAAAAGAGATTGGACATCAATTGCATCCCATCTGTTGGCCACATGTTACTCCTGTTCCCACTGGGATCCCAATATTCTAACTACATTATTAATTAACTTGATGTTAAAATGCCGTTTAGAAATCTTTCCATTCTAAACGTTATCACAAAACACTATTAATTACAACACAGGGCTAACAAGATCACCAGAGATCAGAAATGTTAATAATAGTACGGTGAATTCTAAGGAACAGTGGGATATTTTCAAGCTCTTCCTGTTTATAGTTTACCTGTTATAGTTTTGATCACAGCAGGGGAAATCGCCTTAGCACCCTGTTTATGTTTCCTTCTTCCTGGCCTGACACAGTCTAGTGTGAATTCACTTGGAGAGGAAATTGATGTGGAATTTGAATGGGACAAACAAGGTGTCAGATTGGGGAAAGGGAGGGTGACAAGTCATTGGGTTGAGTTGAGTTGGTTGCTTAAGAATAAATCCTTCCTTCCTTCCTCTAACTCTATCAGAATAAACAGTGTTTCTCCATCACTCTCATCTCCAACCCCCCCCCCAACCCCACCCTCACTCCACCAAGTCTTATGATTGTGGTGTCAGCCTGACTCGGTCGATAGCACTCTCACCTCTTAGTCAACATTTGTGGATTCAAGCTCCACTTCAGGACTTTGAGCTCACATTCTCGCAGTCACTCTGACGCAGTGCTGGGGGAAGCCCTGTGTTGCTGTCTGCCTGTCCAGATGGATGTGAAAGATCCTGTGGCCCTTGTTCCTCACGGCCTGAACGATAGCCTGACCAACAGTACCCCAGATAGAATTGTCCCTTCATCGCTGTTGTTCGGACATTGGTGGGCGCAGTTTGGCTGCCACACTCACCTACAAAATACAGTTACTACAGTTTGAAGTTACTGCACTTTACAGGAAAATCCTGCGAAGCACTTTGAGACATCTTCCCAACGTATTATTATTGTATTTATATTATTTTTAAACTACTTTAAATAATTAGTCCAGCTCATTGGGGATGTTCCCCTCCCCCACCCACCCCCGATGTGAAAGGTGATATACGAATATAATTTGTTGTGTTGTTGTTATTTTCCTCTCCTCCTCAGGATGCTGGAAGCCAGCAGATTGGTTTTCTTTTGGGAAGCTGTGGTGTGACTGTCGCTCTGACAAGTGATGCTTGTCACAAAGGTCTACCTAAAAGCCCAACAGGAGAGATACTACAGTTCAAAGGTAGTTGGTTCTATTCACTTGTACGTCACAGAACTTGGAACAATTGTCTTCTTTGTCTGTTTAATTGATAAAATGTTGACGTGACTTATTGTGATCAACAGCCAAACCAAATGGAGCTACAGTTACGTCCGACCCGTGGTGACAACCTCGGGAATTATTTATTTATCTACGTATCTGTGGAAGCGCTTTTCCCTTTTTGAGTTGTAATTTGGTTCCTCTGGATGGTTACCTAAAGCTCCGATGCTTTGTTTTAATAGTTTTATCAGTTAAACCAAAAGAAAACCCATGTTGGGTATTAGGGAATCTGGGCGGGTCAATTATTATCTGCCCGACAGATCGTAAAACACAGACTAAAGATCAATAAATCAAGGTGGTGAAGAAATTATGAACCCTGTCCCTTCATCTCAAATCCAACCTGAACTAATGAGCCTGAAGTCTTCTCTTTGGCTGCAATTGTCCTAAGGGAAATGAATATTGTTCGGCAAGAGTCAGGGTAAAACCTTCACTGTGCACCTGGACTCTGCACAGCCCAGCATTTTTGTAACTAGTGGATTGGATAAGAATAGTTTCTCTGTGTTGCCAGAGGGCGTTCTCCACAAGACCGGAGAAACATGTCCGGGAATCGGCTCTGCAATATGATACAGCAGAGAAATTTTTAAGACTCCTCCAGAGATTGGTGTGAGAATCAGGAAGGAAGTTGTGGACATCTGAGTGCGGAGGTGCAGAGGACTGATGGGACACAGTGGAGGAAGCTTTACTCTGTGTCTAACTAACCCAGGCTGTGTTCGAGCTGGGAGAGCCCAGTGTTCGACAGGTGGAAAATATTTAATTCACTGATACTGGCACTGCTCACCTTGAAGAGAATTCATCCAAAGAGAAGCGTGTATCCGCATTTATGTAATATCTCAAATGGAAGAATTATTATGATCTTTTTGATGATTTATTGTATTTGATAAGCATTTGGTTCCAGTAATTGTGATAGAAAATCTGCAACGATGATGCCTATTTAATTATATTCTGTGAGTTCTATTCGCCTTGAGGATCTTGTATTAAGTTAACTAGTACATGGGTGGGACTGTTGAGTCTTGTATTGATCAGGACACTGCTAAATTGATTTGCGCTAATGTATAAGCCTTTTTTCTGCAGCCCGCCTTCTGCAAATGAGAGATCGCATTTCATTTAAGGAAAGATATTCTGCATTTGATAGCTCTTCAGAAAAAAATATTTTAAAATAAATATTCATCGACAATATCTTAACAGTTATGGGATTCGGCAAATCTAGAGTGCCTCAAAGATTAGCATGTTAGCTTTTAGACAAGGTATTCTATTGGACAAGTGTGACAGGTAAATGTACCGATCCACATAAATATTAATAAATTGATTGAAAATTGGGAGCTGCCATTGCCTGTGGTGCCTTAATTAATTTTACTTAATAGAGTAAAATTTTATACAGCTGTTAAAAAAAATAAGAAATTACTGGCTGAATCTGAATCGCAGGTTCATACGATTGAGGAAGCATGTTACTCCAATCGCCCGATGGCCTTGTGCTGGTTTGAAAGTGTTGGTAGCTCAGTTCATTAGGGTTAGTAGCTCGATTCACTCTCCGATGAGCTGATTTTATTTTTTGTCTCTTTTTTTTCATAGGTTGGCCACGGTTGCTGTGGTTTGTAACAGAATCTAAGCACCTGTCTAAACCGCCTCGGGATTGGTTTCCTCACATCAAGGATGCAAACAATGACACTGCATACATTGAGGTGAGAGGAACTGGCAATCTAGGGGGAGACAGAGAGAGACAGAGAGAGAGAGAGAAAAAAATTCGCCATGGGTAAAAGACCGATTCAAATTGATAAATGCAATGGATAACACAACTTAACTTGTGATTTGTGAATGCTTAAAATAGAGTAAGGCATAGCGGACTAACGCCAAAGTCATACATCTGCCCGAGTCCCTTTCAAGACTTTATATTCAATGCAGGTTTGACACAACTCATACTTGGCGCGAGTCGTATTAAATGCAGGGTCCCAACTGATACGACTTATGTGAGGTTTATCGTACTCACCAATATAAATTTAGCATCGTTTAGGCCATTTTCATAAGCTGTATATAAATCACGCCTTATTTAAGGCAAATGTATGACACACGAAATGTTAGGTGGGTGGGGGCAGTACGGCACAGAAATAAGCCATTCTGCCTATCTATCCTGTGTGTGTGTTTATACTGTTAAATACTCCACACAGGCCCCCTTCGATCGCATTCCCTTCACCTATACCCCTCTATTCCCTTACGCAATACGTGAGCATGTACAACAACAGCAGCAACTTGTATTTAGATAGTGACTTTCACTCAGGGTAACGTCTGAGAGGACTAAAAAAAATGTAGAGGGCCAAAGTGAGGATATGCAGCAAGTGGCCTTGAGTAGTGGACAAACACATACAGACACACACATACGCACGTAGACACACACACACTCACACAGACACGCACACGCAGAGACACACACACACATGCAGACACGCGCACACAGGCAGACACACAAATACACACATGCAGACACACACACACACACAGACACACACACGCGCGCAGACACACAGACTCCAGGGATAACCAGCCAGAGCTCTGGCTTGAACTCCATTGTTACAGTTGTCCTTGAGTTCCCCCCCAAACTTGCTCTCACTCTATTCTCCAGCATCCAGTAAAACGATTGTTCGGAAGTCTGTCGCCCCTTCCCACCCCCACCCCTCCCCCATCTGTAGTTGACTCCTTTGTAGGAACTTATCTAATTGCCTGAATTATCGCTCCCAGCATGGCATTCCATATCCTAACCACTCTTGAGTGTGAAAACAATTCTCCCAACCATTTGTTTGTTTGTCAACCATCTTAAGTGCCCTCTAGTCGTTGACTCACTAACCATGACCCTAGAGAGGATAGGAGGTTTGGGGGGGGGGGGTGGCGGGTGGGGGAAAAGTGAGGGGGGGATTTGATTTGGTGATGATAATACAGTGTCAGCCTCAACGTCTGGCTGTGATGAATAACTCCTCGTGTTCATTGACCATTAAATAGCCATGTAGCTAGAAAGAAGCTCAATTGAAATGAATCCTGTGGTTCTGTCGGTGTGATAAACAGCAGTTAGAATCACTTGGAATCGGAATCTTTCCATAAATCAGCAAAAGCAAAAGCACACGCGCACACGTTCCGATTCCACCCGGTACGTCTCAGGAACTCTATCAATTCTGTACAGCTGCATAAAATCCGTGAAAGATACTGTACAATTTTACATTGGCGCAGAGCCCTTTTCACCTCAGGAGGAATGACCCAAGGCGCTTAGGGATGTCCCAAGGCGCTCCTCCCTTTCACGGAGGGTAAACCGATACCCGCAGAGCAATAGCCGAGGCGGGTGGAGAGGGCAAAATGACCGAAGGCACGGAGAAAGAGACAGGTCTTCACACAGACCTTGAGAGAGGTCAGGGAGGGCATGAATCGGAAGGATTCTGGGATGCAGTTCCAGAGAATGGTGCTGTTGAGACTGAAAGCCTGACCTCTCGCTGATGGTGGGGCAGGATGGGCAGGAGACGTGAAGTAGTCTGGTGCCCACTGAGCAAAGGGAGCCAGGTCGGTACTAAGATTGCTTCTAACAACATCTTAGGATATCGTAGTAAAAGTATATGAAATGATTTTCTTTTGAAAAAAAGATTACAGGAAAGCCTTGTTGTGAATGGGTCCTTTGTCCATTTCTGCTACACTCCAGACATCTTCTGTTTTCTCAACTGATACCTCTTTACAGTACAATGCAATTTGCTGTACACATTTGGCTACCGTGTTTCGCACCCCCCCCCCCAAATTACACCGTCAATCCATTTTACAATATATTCTGTGAAAAGCTTTGAGTCATCTCATCAATGTGATCAAGTGCTAAATCAGATGCAAGGATTATTATTATTGCTGTTATAATTTACGTTTATACAGTACCGTTCACGTCAGGCAGACATCACTTGTATACAGTTGATTGGTTTCACAACTAGGAACCTGGGTTTCTCTTTCAGAAACAATGAAATCAATGGGAATTCATTTGACTGAACAATATGTAAACAGATCTTAAAAGTTGTCTTGCTTTAAAGTACAAGAGCAACTTGCATTGATATAGTGCCCTTCATGTAGAATAATGTCTTGGAATGCTGACAATGGTAATAAATTAACTAAACACTTAAAAGCACATTCATAGGAATAGCTATATTTTGTAACTACTGTATTGACAATTTATAAGTGTGCTATTTTGCTAATGGATTTACTCACCATTTACCATTGATAATCAGCTTAGACGGCTGTATTTACTTGTATTAACAAGTCCTATGCAATAGTAATAAAAATCATAAAATATTTCCATGTAAAATTTGACTCTAAAGTGCTACAAAATGCATGGTATAAAGTGTCAAACTGGCTGTTCATTGCCATCATTAATAAATCCCTTTTCATTCACTGTTAATTACATAATTAAGGGGACATATAATTTCCTGTGTACGCATGCACATAACACAGCTGTGTTTACACATGGTTTACACGTAGCGCATAATAAACCTCTGTGGTTTATAGCAGGACTCACTTCGAGATCAAATCCTAGTCCTAACAACTAGTAATTCGGGTTATCCCCAATGGGAAGGAGGGTAAATGGAATCCACTGCAATGCTAATTAAGTAGTGCATTGAATTGCACCATGGAAATATTTATGGCTGGAACGCCCTTGCTATTAACATTCAGAGAGGCAAGGCATTGATTGGGGATGGGGAAAGATTCCAGGAGTGAGCCATTCGAAACAGTATGATGTTTTTGGGGAAGATCAGAAAGACAGCCCATACTTTGCCCAGCAGGTGACTACGCATCGCAATGATCAGTGAATTCCCCCCTCAAGGCACGAAATAACTTGTTGCCAACTGCTTCAAAAGAGTGTGATTTGCGTGGGTGAAACAAAAGCCTGCTGCCTTCCTGAATGACAATGCCGCAGAACAGCTATCAGCTTCCAACGTCACATCACATCACGCTGAAACCATTAAAGGCTGTTGCACCAAGAATTCTAGGCGATGGTGTTCAGTAAGAAAATAAACGGTAGAAATGTAAATTAGACAGTGTTAGTCTACAGAACATGACAGAGCAAAGGGAATTGAGGTTTCTGGCGGATGGATTACTGAAACAGTTATTTTTATGGTCAAACTTTTATTGAGCAGTTTCGATCAGTGCATTCCACATTCTTATGGTTTGGGGATTTACCTTAATAATATTAGGTCTAATTTTGAGTGTATGTGCTCTAGCCCTGACTCCCCTACTCAGACCTACTCTAATAATTCACCTTTATTATTGTGAATGCCTGAATCGGATCATCTCTTAACCTCCCGGGCTTTAAGGAGATAGAATCCAAGATTCTTTTGAAACTTTTGATCCCTAAATCCCTTCATCTCAGGAATTATGTTGGTGAAACATTTCCGGATTTACTCCATCAAGACTCCAGATGAGGTCTCAGAACTTGTGTTTTAAAATCTCCGTTCAAGGGCACTTTTAGTTTCCGTTATAGAAAGTTGAGGCAGTAGTTTGAGCTTCTAGTCATACCGTCCGGTGCTTAATTGAGAGTACAGTTATTGTTCTCTGATGCTCCTTCCTGCACTTTGATGGTGGGGTGTGGGGAGGAACAGCTATTATCTGTTCTGACTATATCAAATGTACTACTAAATTGATCCCTATATCTTTCCTATGGCCATGAATTCCATTGGCGTGTTAGCCTGGCTCAGTTAGTTGCACTAACGCCTCTTGAGTCAGAAAGTTGTGGGTTCACCTTCAGGACTTTGATTCACATGGTCTTGGCTGATGCACCATTGCAGCTCTGGGGGAAAGCTGCATTGTCAGAGGTGCCGTCCTTCAGCTGAGACGTGAAACCGAGGTCCCATCTACCTGTTCAGGTGGATGTTATAAAGGTCCCGTGGGTTTCTTACTGGCCGACAATCCCCAGTTTGAAATGGGTCATTTACTTCATGGCTCGTTGTGGGACATTGCAGTGCCCCAATTAGTTGCTGAGGTCGCTCACAAATTACACAGACACTGCACGCAGAAACATAGAAATCTACAGGGCAGTAGGAGGCCATTCGGCCCATCGGCCCATCGAGTCCTCAGTTCACAGAGCAAGGAAATCAATTGACCCTACCCACCCCCCCGCCTTATGCCCATATCCCTTCAAGCCCCTCTCTACTTCCCTCTTGAAAGTCACAATGAACTCCATCCCTACTAACCTGCTCGAGCTCTCCTATCGCTGTTCTTATGGCTATATTATAACTGTGTCCCTTAGTCACTGACTCTCCTGACAATGGAAATAACTTCTCCCTTTTCACCCTGTGAAAACCCCCTCATAATTTTTTTGCAGCTCAACCTTCTGTGCTCTAATGAAAACAGACTCAGCTTCTTTAATATTTCCTCATAACTGTAGCCCTTCATCCCCGGAATAATCCCTGTAAACCTCCTCTGCGCCCCCTTCAAAGCTTTAACTTAAATCCCTCCTGAAGTGAGGTGCAGTACTCCACTTGCGGCCTAACCTACAATACGTACAAGATTAGCATTATTGCTTGACTTTACGCCCTGTGTATAAAACCGAGTGTGCTATCAGCTGCCTCTACAGCATTTGCCAGTTGCGATGCCACTTTGAATGACTTGTGTACCCGCCCTCCCAAATTCCTTTCCCCTCGGATCCGTGCAAAATGCTGCCATTCAATTATATTCCCTTGATTTTCTACTAAAATGAATCGCCTCACATTTCGCTTCATTAAAATTCATTTGTACTGATCAGCCCATTGCGCTAATCTGTTTAAATCCTCCTGCAGTCTTTTTCCATCCTCATTGCTATTCCTCATACCTCCCAGCTTAGTATCATTTGCAATGATTGGCATCATCCCTATGAAGAGCTTTGCGACCTCCTGACGTGAAAGGTGCTATATCAAATATAGGGATTATTATTGTTATTGTTAGTCTGGGTCTTTTGCCAATACTTCAGCAATGTAACATATACCGGAGTGATTAAGCTAAATACATTGGAGGGGGTGAGCTTTGCTGAGCAATGGGCTTTCTATCCCAACTCCTCTTATGTCTTGAACGTAGCCAGTGTCTGTTCTGTTCACTGGCATCTTGGAGTCCGGTAACATATTGGTTCGAGCCCTCGCCTCGCAAGCGAGAAGACCCGGGTTCGATTCCTGGGCAGGGCTAAACCTTGGCAAGTTTCTTTACTCCACACGTCTCGGTTTGCCAAGCAGTAAGTAGGAACCCAGTTGTTAGTCAATTGGCGGATCGCTTTCCGGGAGTAATAATCCCTTCAAACATAATAATAATTTGGTCACTCAATCTATGACTGTTTGTGGGACACCGATGTGTGCAATTGACTGCTGCATTATTATTATCCCTCCAAACGTAATTAGTTAAAATGTAATTAAACTAGAGTAGCTCCTGACTCACAGTGAGAGAGCTCTCCACTTTTTTTCGACTGTTTATCCAAAGTTCCTAGAAAAATGATATTACATTGGCATTACCGAGACTAATAATCCCTTCAAAAAACAAATAAATAATAATAATTTGGTCACTCAATGCATGACCGTTTATTGGACACAATTGGTTGCTGCGTTTCACCCACAAAATATACAGTCAATTCACTTTATAGTATATTCTGTGAAGCGCTTTGGGACGTCCTCCCGACGTGAAAAGCGCTATATCAAATGCAAGGATTATTATTATTATTCTTTGAAGAGCCCTTTGAGACGTCTTAATGATGTGATAAGGAGCGATATCAAAGGCAAGGAATATTATTATTATTAGGGCCTGAATGACTGCCTTCTGTGCTGTACATTTCTATGGTTCAATTGCATTGGTTTAGAGAACAACCCAGAGAGACAGACAATCATTGCTGTGGTGAATAAAAAAAGCTTTGAGATTGCCCTGTGACAGGTTGGATAACCCAAGTGACATCACATATGGGTTGGGGTTATTCTCACATACCAGTCTCCGTCCTGCTGCTGCGAGGAGCTGAACGGCAGAAACTGCACCACAAAGCTGGCACTGGCTACCAAGTCAAGGCAGACACCAGGAAGTATTTCTTTACCCAGTTGATAATGAATGTCTGGAACAGGAAGAGTGATTGGGGCCTGGGGTTCTCAACTCATTTAAAACAAAAACAGCTTGATGCTATGGTGGGAAGATGGTAGGGTGGGTGTCTGTCATGGATGAGATCAAACAGGTCGAAGGGCCTCCTTCATCCAAACCAATCTTGTGAAGACTGTTATTGGTGTAGCCTGCCTGTCTTTTTAACCGCAGACAGCAGATGGCTTGGGGTGATCACTGGAGGTTAAAGAGCAAAAAAGGACAAATTGTTAGGGTGTCCCAGTCTCTGTACTGCAAAAAAACAAGACCATAAGAGACCGCGAATGTGAACACCATCACTTCTCCCAACACCATCTCTGTGTTTTGTCACTAGTACAAGACGTGTAAAGACGGCAGCGTGCTTGGCGTGACGGTGACAAGAATTGCACTCCTGACCCACTGTCAGGCACTGACCCAGGCCTGCGCGTACACAGAAGGTAAGAGTTGCTTTCTCTTCCTCCCTTTCACAGAGAGTAAAACGACACCCGCAGAGCAATAGGCAGCATAGGCAGCGAGTGGTCGGTCCCTTTAAGACAGGTGCGTCCTCCGAACTAGTGTCAAATATGGCCACCGTCCCCTTCCCCCCCCCCCCCCCCTCACTGTGCAGACAGCCCACCCGCTCCCCATCCGCAGAGTAACGCTGCCTCTGATGCCTGAAAATCTCATGGTGTTAGCCGTGGATCTTTAAAATAAGATTGAATCGCGCAGAATTTAGGAAAATTGTTAACTGCAGTCTTAAGCCTATTACTGCATAAACAAGAAGTCTGAATATATGGCAATCTCGTTATAAAGCATCTGGCTGGATCCTGTTCCATGCGAGGCGGCAAAAATGATCTCCTTTCAAGTCATTGTATAGTCCTGTAGCTCAGTGGTTAGCGCACTCGCCTCGCAAGCGAGAGATCTGGGTTCGATTCTCAGCAGGGCGAAACATTGGGCAAGTTTCCTTACTCCACACGCCGCTGTTTACCCAGCAGTGAGTAGGTACCCGGTTGTTAGTCGATTGGCGGATCGCTTTTCCGGGGGTAATAATTCCTTAAGAAAAAAAAATTGGTCAGTTCAATCCACGACTGTTGGCAGGACGCTGCTGTGCGCGATTGGCTGCCGCGTTTCGCCCACAAAATATACAGTCAATTCGCTTTACAGTAAATTCTGTGAACTGCTTTGAGACGTCTCGAAGACGTGGTAAGGCGCTGTATCAAATGCAAGGATTATTATTATATATCAGGTCACTGCTGACATCACTTGTTTGTGTGTTGCAGGAAGTGCTGCAATGTCAGCCTGGGCATAAGGGAGCCCTCACTAAACCCTCGTACGTTCTCAGGAGTTGCCCCATACTTAGTGATGTTTGATTACCTTTTCATAGAATCATAGAATTATACAGCACAAGAAGGAGGCCATTCGGCCCATCCTGTCTGTGCCGGCTCTTTGAAAAGAGCTATCCAAATCAATCCCACTCCCCCGCTCTCTCCCCACAACCCTACAAGCTTGTCCTCCCCTAAAAATGATCTACTTTCCCTCCTAAGTGTTGTTATCGAATCGGTCCTTCATAAATCCTGCGGCAGAATTTTTTTTAAAAGACTACTACATCAGCAAAACAATAAGGATAGGAATTGGGCAAGTCTTACGTTGTGGACAAAATGATAATACGGTAAAAATTCACCTAAGTCTGCTCCGTATAAATGGTATAATCACCTTAGTCGCACATCTACCCAAGTGCTGTTCAAGAGTTTATATTCCATGCAAGTTTGACGTAACTCATACTTTTCATAAGTCATATTAAATGTATGGTCCCAACTGACTTATGCAAGGTTTACTTATGTGTGTAATACTGCTTCTGCTCACCCGGTTACCCTCCATGAAGTCCCTACTTCCTTTCTCCCCTCACCCCCTTATCCTCTTTGTTTGTTCCTTTTTGAGCTCTGTTTCTCTCTGTGTCAGGATTTTCAAGCCTCAGTTTAGCTTTAGCATCACTGATCTCTGTTACAAGTAACATTTGATAGGGAAGATGAGTGGAAAGAGCCACAGAAGGGAAAGCCCATGGTTGAATTTGTTGATCAGCAAGGAGACTGCTGATAGCTGTTCAGGCAGCTCGCTTTCTGATCTAATGCTCTTCTGAGTTGAGTGTGATTGAATTGGAAAATAGCTCGCCAGGATATTACTCACTGAAATGACTCGTAGGTGGAAAGCGTTGAAGTTATTGTGTAAAATAACTTGTGGTTGCAATCTTCAAAGTGTGATGGCATTCCAGAGTAATATAGATCAGTGATAAATAATGGCTATATCAACTGTGTAATCTCTAGGTCTTCGTCAAAATAGCCCCTTCTTAAAAGCAATTTGCGATGTCAGTACCTTGTGTGCTGTGGTTACACGCTTAGATTTCCTGGAACCTCTTTGAATTGACTACAAATCAGTAATGAACGTAGGAAATCCAAGCAACACGCTCCCGCAGGAATCGTCGTGATCTCTATTGAACGTATGTGAAATGTTCAATGTTCAAATCCTCTGGAGTCCCGTAGCTCAGTGATTAGAGCACTCGCCTCGCAAGCGAGCGACCTGGTTTCAATTCCCGACAGGGCGAAACCTTGGGCAAGTTTCCTTACTCCTTTTGCCCGATAATAATTCCTCAAGAAAAAACAAGAAATAATAATAATAATTTGGTCACTCAATCCATGACTGTTTGTGGGACATTGCTGTGCGCAATTGGCTGCCGCGTTTCGCCCACAAATATGCAGTCAATTCACTTTACAGTATAACCTATGAAGCGCTTTGAGACGTCTAGAAGATGCGAAAACCTCTATATGAAATGCAAGGATTATTATTATTATTATAAAAGCCTCACCGCTCGGTCTGAATGCCATTTGTAGGTGATCATTCATTCATTTATTCATGCTTACAATGTTCAACAGTACAGTGCTTAATTCAGACCCTCTTGATTCAATGATGCTTCTCAGCCTCCGCTGTTTCCGAACTGAGCGAAATATTAAGTAGCTCAGTTGCTGCAGCGTTTCAAGAAGAACGATTCCTCGAGACCACAGAGAATGATACATACGGCACAGCCTTAGGCAATTTTGCAGGTGTTTATGTTCTATTTGAGCTCCAACCCCTCCTAATTCACCTCACACATACCCACTCCCCATTCCTTTCGTCGTCGTGTATGCGAGGAGCCAATGTGCTGTAAAAGGAATGCTCTGTAAATGAAACTGGTCATATGGTCCTTGTGACTTCTAAATACATGTTGTAAATCTGGTGGTTGGCTTCCCATGAGTGACCATGAGTATATTAAAAATCCACACACTCACTAAATTAGACTGCCCACCCACCCCAAAAAAAAATCCTCAAGTAAATGTTAGCCACTCGCAAGAGTCCTGTAGCTCAGTGGTTAGACGACTCACCTCACAAGCGAGAGACCTGGGTTTGATTCCCGGCAGGGCAAAACCTTGGGTAAATTTCCTTACTCCACACACCTCTGTTTATCCTTTTAAACAAAAAACAATAATGAAATTGGTCACTTCAACCCACGACTGTTTGTGGGACGCTGCTGTGCTGCTGCGTTTCGCCCACAAATATACAGTCAATTCACTTTACAGTCTATTTTGTGAAGCGCATTGAGACGCCTCGAAGACGTGAAAAGCGTTATATAAAATGCAAGGATTATTATTATTATTTATTGTCTATCACTTCAAACATGCTGTAGTCTACAATAATAATAATAACTGTGTATTTTGTAGGCAAACACGGCAGCCAGTTTGCACACAGCAGTGTCTCACAGATAGCCAGAACGACCAGGTTCATCTGGGGATTGTTGACCAGGACACCAAGAGAAGCTCCCACCTCTTGCTTCACATGGCCACAGGGTCTTTATTGAACAGGGAGACAGGACGTCTCACCTGAAGGACAGCAGTGAAGTGTCAGCTTAGACTATGAGATCAAGATCCCAACTTGTGGCTTGAACCCACAACCTTCTGATGAGAGACAACCTTCTGATGTTACGCCAGGCTGACATTCAGGCTGTTTCCAAGCCAGAGGGAAAAAATCTGAATGGTTGCTGTCTCTGTTCATTGTCCAGTTGAATAGCTGCTGCTCTCTTTCCCTTAACGCACTGTTCAAAGACAACTTGGATAAGGTATTGGAGAATTAATAGCCTTAGGATGAGCCACTGCCTTCAGCAGCGATGGGGTAGAGAAAACATTGAAAGGCAATACAAGCGGAAACAGTCTTAAGAAGCAATATTTGACAGTGGTACAAACATGGCTTCCTTCTGTGCAGAACGTTTCTATATTCTGGTAGAGGTAAAATTTATAGGAATGTTACCTGCTAGTTGTCTGAGTCTATTCTCTCTTTTTTTTTGTCTGTTTCAAACAGCGGAAACCATTGTGAATGTATTGGATTTTAAGAAAGATGTCGGCTTGTGGCACGGTATTCTTACGGTAAGTCTTGCTTTATACTAACAGCAATCAATGTCACCGATCTGTGTGAAGCACTGTGTATGGTTTAATTTCATAAATGACCTCTATCAGCAGTTTGTGGGGTTTCATTGCCACCCAGAGTATTGTTCTTTAAAGAGAAATAATAATAATAAAAATACTTATTTGTTTCGCCCATAAAATACACAGTCAATTCACTTTATTCTGTGAAGCCCTTTGAGATGTCTCAACGACGTGATGAAGTGTTATGTCGAACGCAAGGATTATTATTATTATTCCCTCTGGATTCTAGGTTTGCTTTGTTTGGGTGGCATTTTAGAGCATCTAAAATCTGGCAAACTGTTGATTTAGAGCTTAATTTAGGTATTCATCCTGTGCCAGGTGAGATTACGCCAACTCTCTTCTCACCAGACTTCCCATCTCTTCCCATCACGAGCTACGGACCATCTGCAGCTAGTATTGTCCTCTCCTTCACTAGGCTGATCGCTCCTTTCCGATCATCCCCAATCTCACCCGACTCAACTGGCTCCCCAAACCCCAGAGGATTGAGTTCAAGATCCTCTCCCTCACTTTTGAAGCCTTCCATGGTCTTGTCCCACCCTACATCTGTTATCTTTCTTAATCCCCACCAACCCACCCGCTCCCTCAATCATGGATGAAAGTAGATTGAAATCCTGGGCAGATTGAGGCCCGATGCCACAATAATAATCCTTGCGTTTAGCACAACGCTTTTCACCTCAGGAGGATTTTCACATCCCAAAAGGGGCTTTACAGGAGGAGACTACATATACTGCGTAAAAGAATATGATGAAAGAGCGAGGTTATGGGGTTAAAACATCCGCCAAGTTCTAATAAACCGATGGAACAGGCTCGATGGACTGATTAGCCTCCTCCTTTTTCTTGTATATTCCTATTGAAGCACTTTATGTATTCGATAACACGATAGGGAGACGATTGATGATCTGGATTTGTGAGCCAAAGCTGTGACGTGTTTTGGCAGGCGACTGTTTTTGATCGGCAGCAGCTGGCAAGGATGGCATCAATCACTCCCACTGTGGCCAGCTAACACTCCCTTACTTCCTTAACAATTTGATGGTGGTGATGATCTGTAAAGTTTTTAGAGCATCTGTTACTCGCTGTCATAATATTTCTTAGCAAGCTGAAATAGAACGATGTGTTTGGCATGTTTGGAAGCAAAATATAGTGTCTTTTTCCGAGTCAAGGTAACGTTTCACCCAGTTGTTTTATTTGTCCCTCTCAGAGTGTTATGAATATGATGCACGTCATCAGTATCCCGTATTCCTTAATGAAAGTGAACCCCCTCTCTTGGATACAAAAAGTCTATGCATATAAGGGTAAGTAGAGAGACGTCTCAAAGCACTTTGCATTGCTGGCTGGACATCCGAGCCCGGTGCTGGGGTGGGGTGGGGGGGAGGGAAAGGGCGAGGGGGAAGCTGAAGAGAGTAGGGAGGAGAAAGATTACTGAAAGCGTGGGCAAGAGGTAAGTCTTGAGATGGGCTTTGAAAGAGTGTGCATGTGTGTGTGGGGTGGGGGTGGAGGATTGAGTGGGGGAGCGGAGGCAAGTCGAAGAGATTGTGGGATAGAGTTGCAGAGATCAGAATGGTTGAAAGCTCGCCCACCGATGGTCGGGGAAATGAAGGTGGAAAAAAAACTACTGTTCGCAAAGGATACGTGATGCTGAGTGATATTGTTCTGTTTCCATTGAATGAATTTGCGCAATCCTTTTGTCTTAGGTCGTTGAAGAAAATTGCAGTGCAGAAAGGATGTTAAAAGGTGTAGTTATTGTTTACGTTTGTTCAGGGCTAACAATGTATTCAATTCTGTTTACATCCAGCGAAAGTGGCGTGTGTGAAGTCTAGAGACATGCACTGGGCATTGGTGGCTCACAGAGACCAGCGGGACATTAATCTCACTTCCCTGCGGATGTTAATTGTGGCAGACGGGGCCAACCCTTGTGAGTAACCACCTGCTGTAATGACCTGCCTTGAGCAAAATTAAATGAACGCTTTCAGGTGTTAGACCATGGGAAAGTATAATATGTGAACACATACAGTATATAGTTTGGGACATGACATGTGCAAGCGACTGCCAGGATGGTGGAAGGTGAACTGGAGGGACCTTGGTCTTCTTTTGTCTTGCAAATTCGTATAAAAGGCCTTTGGACCATCAAACCTCACTCCTTACTGTAAGCACATGAAATCTTACCTACTGATTCCATCTCATTCACTTGATCTTCTGGTGGGTCATATCTACATGGGTATTACTGATAACCCCCCCCCCCCGATTCAGAATATTCATCTATCCTCACGTTGTCACTGTTCAGTGTTAGCCTCCTCCGCAACAGACAAGCGAGAATTAGGAAATTAACAGTGTCGGCATCCTTTCGACAACAACTTGTACTTGTTGCAACAGGGGGATGTGTTTCGCAGCACTCAACGCTGATGTAGATTGGCAACGAGCAGGAGGGTAACTCTAGGCATCGTCGAAGAAGAAAGTCTTGAGGTGTGATCTGAAGGCATTTTTTTGGAGGTCAGCCGGGTGTCCGACACATGCGGAATCTCATCACCGTGCGTAAGAGTATCCAAACCAAACTGAGAATTCCATGCATCCCACTTATCCATGGAAATATCTATGGAATTTCCATCTGTAGGTAGGATACATGGAACCCTCAATCTTCAGATCACTTTCCTCTTCGATTCTGGCCTACAGTCACATCCACCTTCTCCTCTGCTTGGCGTCAATCTACCCCAGTGTTGAGTGCTATGCAACGCTACCCTGAGGGCACAATATAGACGCAAGTTGCTGTTGTAAGGATACTGGTGCTGTTAATTTCCTCATCGCACGTCCCACAAAATTACCTTCCAAACCGTTTTCTCTGCATCCAAAGAAAGTGACACAAAGAATTGTGGGCATCCATTGAGAAAGAGGCACTCTTAATTTTTGTCTCCCAAATGAAAATAAGTATTGCAATCGGTTGTCTTTTTTTTGTTTCTGGTCTATTAGGGTCTATTTCTTCCTGTGATGCATTCCTTAATGTCTTCCAAAGCAAAGGATTGCGTCCTGAAGTCATCTGTCCTTGTGCCAGCTCACCAGAGGCTCTCACGGTAGCTATCCGCAGGTATGAAATTCAGATGTTGATCAACATAGTAGTAATAGCTATACCAAACTGTCTGCTCCCTCCACTCAGCAGCCTCTGACCTCCTCCATTTCCCCCGCCCTGCCCGCCCGCCCCACCATAGACGGTCAGGCCTTCAGCCTTTCTGCCCTCACCCTTTGGAACTCCATCCCACAGATTCTTGGTCTCAAAGTCTCACTTGCTTTGTTCAAGGCCGTCTCAAGACCCTCATCTTCGAACACGCCTTCGGTCAGCCTCCTACCCTTACCCTCCCTGTCCTCCAGCCTTCCTGATCCCAACCCCCAACTCGAGGGCAAATACTTTACCGTCCAGGTCCTTGGGACATCCTCCCTATGTGAAAGACGCTATGCACATGTAATTTGTCTTTTTTAAGTTTCCCAGGGCACATTTCACCTATCCTCGATTTCCTTCTCGAGGTCTTTTGTAGCTGGGCAATTGTCAATGTGGACACGCTCATTGTAGGAAGTTGAGATTTTTGCTTTTGTTTTTAATCACTTCCGTGGCTGAGTTTCTAAACTCCTGCAGGGTACGGACAAGCCAAAGGGTGCATTGCTCTGGTGCGATGCACCATTGCAATAAGTCTATTATTGCGTGAACACAGCAAAGAAAAGTGCTAGTGGTATATTGAACCTGGCAGCCTGGCCTCAAAGGGACATAATTTATGGAAATGATGAAAAATATGACCTGCTCTGCATTGTAAGTTCTATGCAAACCAACATGCCCGCTCCTTCTAGAACACAAAGGAGTTTCTCCCGGTATCCTGGCCTACAATCCCCCTCCCCCAAGCAAAATTGATCATTCTCTTCATGATTGTTTGTGGGACTTAGGGTCACATTGGCTGCAGCCCACAAAACACACCTTACAGTATAGCCTGTGAAGCGCTTTGAGACGTCCTCCCCATGTGAACATTGCCACATCAAATGCAAGCGGCAGTGTTATTTTCCAAGGTGAGCTTCGAGAATGTGAGCAACTAGTCAAGTAGCCGTAAAAGAACGTTCATCTTAGCACAGGCGGAATTCACAGGGTAAGACAACAACAGCTTGCATTTTTATAGCGCCCTTCACGCAGGATAGAGTCTGGGAGTGCTTAAGGTATACTAATTTGCGCTGAACACTCTCTGGGGTCAGGTGCGTCCTTTCCAGGGAGAGAGCGCGCACATTCCATTCCAAACGTGGGGGGGTGGAGTTTTCACGTAGCTGGCACACACATGTGGAATCTCAATCTGTGTTAGGGTACTCTCTAAAGCACGGTGATAGAGTTTCCGTATACGTCAGGCAACCGGCTAGGCCCTGAAGTAAAAGGCTTCAATGAAACTGCGTTCAAAGATTTGCAATTTTCTTCCTGAAATCTAAACGTCTTGTTTTATTTTAGGCCAACCGATGATACCAACCAACCTCCGGGGCGAGGTGTCCTCTCAATGCACGGTCTGAGTTACGGGGTAATAAGAGTGGATTCGGAAGAGAAGCTGTCTGTTTTAACTGTACAGGATGTTGGCATGGTAATGCCAGGAGGTACGGAACGATTGAATCAATAAAAAATATTTTTCGCTTCGATTTCTAATAATAATAATAATAATCCTCACATTTGAGATAGCGCCTATCACGTCACGATGATATCTTAAAGCGCTTCGCAAGATATGCTGTAAAATGTGGTGGCTGTTTGTTTTATGGGCAAACAAACGATGTGCGATATTGTGGCCAAATTATATAAAAACTGCATTTGAGTTGTACTTTTAAGATGGCTGTCCTTTCCAAATACTGCAGTGACATAATGATATTAACAGTCAATAAATAATCCTTGCATTTGGTACAGTGATTTATCACATTGTCGAGACTTCTCAGGAGTTCACAGACTGTGCATAGGCGAACATGGCTGCCAATTTGTGCTCAAAGGATGTCCCACAAACAGCTAAGACGTGAATGACCAGGACACAGAGAAAACATTTACCGAATAGTAATAATTGTAACATAGGAATAATCTGAAGTATGTGTCCTGAGTGAATAATCTAAAGGGTAAGGGGAAAGCCAGGTAAATGGGGCTGAACGGATTGCTCTTTCAAAGAGACAGCAAAGGCGTGATGGGCCAAATAGCCTTCTTCTGTGCCGTACATTTCTATGTTTCGAAGTTTAGAAGTCTTTACAACTCACGTACAGGCTGCATCCAATTTAGCAGTAGGTTCTCAAGTGTCCCCTTCTCTCGTGTTGCAAGGATTATATCAAATGCAAATGTAAGGATTATTCTTATTATTATTATTTGCATTAGACTCCTGTTCGTAGGCGCATCCAATACAATGTACTGTATAACTGAGCTGGGGGTGGGAGGGAGCCAAGGTCGTTGGAGAGGGGAAAGATAAATAAAAGCATGGACAAAGGGCGCTATGTAAATGCAGTTGGCTGTTGTTGTCATTAAGCTTGAAGTTTACATCGAAAGTTGCTTACTTCAGGAGAGGCTGAATAAAATAATAAATAAGATGATAAACAACGATAATATAATTCTAAAATAATTTCACCCCATTATGCAGTGTTAGCAGGACTATTAGTTTGAACTGTGATGCGACAGTCTTTGCAAACGCCATGCAAAATATTGACCACATTTGCTTGATAACTTGCGGAGTTCTGTAGTGTATCGATTAGAGAACTCGCCTCGCAAGCAAAGGGGACCTGGGTTCAAATCCCGGCCGGGGCAAAAACTTAGGCAAATTTCCTTACTCCGCACGCCTCTGTTCACCGGGTTGTTAGTCAATTGGCAGATCGTTTTCCGGGGGTAATAATCCCTCCAAAAAAATAAATAAGTAAAAAATAATTTGGTCACTCCATCAACGACTGTTTGTGGGACGCTGCTGTGCGCAATTGGCTGCCAAGTTTTGCCCACAAAATACGCAGTCAATTCAATTTACAATATATTCTGTGAAGCGCTTTGAGACGTCTCAACGACGTGATAAGGCGTTATATGAAATGCAAAGGAATATGATTATTATTATAATAATTTAAGGGGGTGAAAAACACTCCATGTGATGATTGCCATCAATCCAAACACCGATTTTTTTAAAATAATTAAAAATTAAAAATTTTAATTTAAAATTTAACATATAAATTTGTTAACTTCAACTCCCCCCCCCGCACAACTCCCCCACACCCCTCCCAATGCCCACCCCCCACAAACACATACCGGAAACCGAATCCAAACAAAGATGACCTGTCACTTGTCACTTTGCCAGACCTATCCCTTAATGCTGTGGAGCATAGCCGGTGAGTGATGTGGTTCAGAGAGAGCCAGATTCGCAGGCCCGATAGAATTTGTGGTCGGTAGACCAGAAAAAAACGAACAGCCGGCTGTGGAATACCAGAATGATTTCGCTATGCACGGTCTGAACAAAATTCGCGCCCAACCAGATCTAAAATCAAACGCGTAGATTTTGTGAAAAGTTGCGAAAGGTTCTGTGAAAGTCAACGTCGCGGCGGTGAGGGTTACAAGCGGATTTTTTCACTTGGATTTGCCGGGAAGGCGCTTTGGAACATCCTCCCGACCTGAAAGGCGCTCTATAAATGTAAGGCTGTTGTTGTTGTTGTTGTCATCCGTGTGTGCTGTGCTGTGGTTAATGTGTACTGGATGCTCTATGCTATTCTAAACGAGTGCGATGAGGGATCGTTAATTCTTATTATCCCTGATTTCATCCTGCAGTTGAGTTACAGTAAAGTGTCGTTTCGGTCTCGTGTTGAGAAGTTAATCGGCAACGTGCAAATGAGTACCTTTTTGCCGGAGGATAGGGCAGGTCAGCCCATTTGAATGTTTCCAGCTCAATCCCTGCCGGAGTACAAAGGCCAATATATTCTTGCCGCTACATTATATACTTACAGACTGCTAAACGGAATTACTCTTCTGAGGACAAAACTGGCCTTTTGTTGCGTCGAAGAATGATGCCGATTTCACCTCTGCCTAAGAACATCAGGAGCACATTGTGAGGCATTTGGTTCACAAAATATTACAGTCGATTCACTTCACAGTATATTCTAGCGAAGCGCTTTGCACACAGCCACGTCCCACAAACAACCGTGTGGAGTGAATGACCAATTGTACTTAGGGGATTGTTGTCCAGGACGTGATGAGACACCGATTCTCTTCTGCTTACACCCTGCTTCCCTTCCCCCTGCCTTCGCTCAGCGTGCTCAGGTATTCTGCACGACCCTCATCCCTCCGGTCCGCAATCGGTGACCACCACTCCGAAATTCTCACCGCCTCCCTCCAGTAATTGAGCATAGCTCTGGAATATTACTCCCCATTTACATTCTGTGCTGTTCAGCTCGGAGCAGTTGTTTTTCACAGATGACTCATTCTTGTCCCCAGTAGGAGAGGAGCTGTCGTTTGCCATAGAGAATTTTGTTCATCTCTGTCAATCTTTATTCTCATAACCTTCAGCGATGCGTGGAACCAAATATTTATTCAGCTCTTATTTGGAAGGTATTAATAAGCTTAGCAACGCTGGGATGTGTGCAATGTGTCCATTGCACCGTGAGTTTCAACATGCCTTCTAATTTCTGGTTTCACTTGAATAATAACAATAATTTACATTTAATAATAATAATAATAATAATAATCCTTGCAATTTGATATTGCGCCTTTTCAAGTCGTTGAGACATCTCAAGAAGCTTTCTCGGAAAATATACCGGAAAGTGAATTGACTCTATACTTTGTGGCCGAAATGCCAACAGAGCCTTTGATGTCAGGAGGATGTCTTGAAGAGCGTGATACAGCTTCCTGGGAACCGAAGCTGGGAAAAGCCAAAGAACGAGTCAAATAATGTTCCTCCATTACTATTGTCCGTGGTCCTTAATTTTTAAAGCTGTGGGTCAGGGCCCTTGTTGACCTTGATGCTTCCAATGAGATCCAGTTCAGTATTTTTAGTATTTCTTGCTGTCCTAGAGTCTGAAACATCGAGTCAGCCACTGTTACTATTCTTGGGATTTTCTGACGTTTCAATGACGTTTCGAAGCAAGAGTGCCAAGGCTCGCTTAATCATATTCTAAGTATGTCCCTCCCACAGTGAATCATGCAGCATTACAATAACCTACGTTGACATGGAATGAAATGCCTTTCGATGGATCCAAGGACGTGATTAGTCTTGCTGGCAGTGAGACCAGTTTTGCGATGTTGTACTGCTAAGGGATAAGGCCCTCGGTTAGTTGACAAATCAAAGGTCTGTTAGCGGTCATACATTTATTGCGCGCTCGTTCTTCACCTTTCCCCGCGCCAATCTTCATTGGCTTCAATTTATTCACATTTAATGCCTCCTTTATAACACTCGGAGCTCGGTCTCGCAGTCTTGGTTTCAAAGAGGTTCCAGTCAATTATATTTCACTGTTCACTTTATTTTATATAAAATTTGGCTTTACCCAAGCATTTGCCCTTGATATATTCCTACTCTTTACTGTGTCCAATGACAGGATGAATGAAACTCTGAGCCAGTGTTTGAGTGACATTTCACTCGAGTGTCTCAAAGGTGTAATCTTCTAACAGATTCATAAAATGCCATCGGACAGAAGAAGACCTTTCTGCCCTAACGTGGCTGTATTGACTCTCTAAACTTTTGATTTATTCCCACTCCCTTACCTTTCCCTCTTCCCCTCCCCATCTTTCCATTCATTTCTTTATCAAGTATTTGTCCAACTCCCTTTTGAAGGTTCAACGACCATTTCTGTTGGTAGTCCAACAAACATCAGTCGCATGGCTTCTTAAAAAGACCAGCGGAATACTGGTTTCCAAACTAAGACCGAATTTATGAATTGTCCAAAATTTTGCATGATCTCAAATTTTAAGGCAAAGATCTTGAGGCTAAAACTGGAAGACGTTTTTGTATCATTTTTGACTTGAAAGTAAAATAAACCTTGATCACCATGATTTAAATGTTCCGAGACACTACCCATGCGAAGGGTGCCATATAAATGCAAGTTTTAATGTATTCAATCATCTTAATTTACTCAATCATCTTACTTTTGTTCTACGGGTGAGATGTTAAACCCGTCTGCCTGTTCAGGTGGACTTTAAAGATCCCATGGCGCTACTCAAAAAGAGAAAGGAGTTTCTCCCGGGTGTCATGGCTAACAATCCCCCAAATAAAGTTGGTCATTCACTCCGGCCATTGCTGTGCACAAATTGGCCGTATTAGCCCACAAACACACAGTCACTGCGCTTTATAGTGCATCCTTGAATCGCTTTGGGACGTCCTCCCTACAATAATAATAATAATCCTTGCATTTGATATAGCGCTTTTCACGTTGGGAGGACATCCCAAAGCGTTTCACAGAACACACTGTAAAGTGAATTGACTGTATGTTTGTGGGCGAACGCGGCAGCCAATTGCGCACAGCAATGTCCCACAAACAGTCGTAGATTGAAAATGACCAATTTATTATTGTTTTTGGTTTTGGAGGGATTATTATTAGGCTCTGTGTGGAGTAAGGAAACTTGCCCGAGGTTTCGCCCTCTGTCTGGGATTGAACTCGGGTCTCTCGCTTGCAAAGCGAGTGTTCTAACCACTGAGCTACAGGAAAGGAGCGTGATGGTTCTCACCCCTTTACGTAACCGGCGAAGTTTAGTAACGCAGAGTGTACTAGGTGGCCTCTGTTTTCAAACAAAAACAGAAGTGGCTGGGGACACTCAGCATCTATGGAGAAAGGAAACTCAGTCAACGTTTCGGGTCCACGACCTGTTCCCAGCGACTTCTGTTTTTGTTTCAGATTTCCAGATTCTGCAGTATTTTGGGTTTCATCTCTGTTTTCAGTCTGGAAGTGCAAATCCCTACTCTAGTGGAACTTCACTACTTAGAGTAACATGATGACACATATTCTCAGTTGACTTACCGCCCACTGGATCGAGATGCTTTCCCCAGTGTCTTATCGCACTACCAGGCACTGAGTCCAGCAACTACCTGTTTGGTGTATTTCCCTACCTCCCTCCTTGAGAACTTTGTAACAGAGACTCGAAGAGACTACTGAGAAAATACAACAGAGTTTGATTAGCCCTACGCAATCCTATGTCTTACTGACTCCAACCGATAATAAAACTGTAAAAAAAACTAGTAGCACTTAACTAATGTTTGTAAAAAAAATTAAAAAAAACGATCTCGACTCGGAGGTAGTCCCACTCAAGTCAGACATGTGCCTCGATGGTGACCAAAAGCTAGTGACCCCAAGTTGTCAGCCCCCCCACCCCCACCCCCCTTCTTTTAAGGGAACCCTAACCCTCGTCTTCAATGTATCAGCTGTTTTTCCCACTCTCAGTATCTCATGGTCTCTCCCACGAAATGGTTCAACTTATTCAGATTTTATGTCACCAAAGATGACCCCAAAGTTATTTTAAATCAAAGTGGTTTGTCATATTTAAAGCGCAAACCTTCTTAAAGGGACAGGCATCTCCAATGTGAACTATGAACATACCAATAATAATCGATCGGTCACTCAATCCACGACTGTTTGTGGGACGCTGCTGTGCGCCATTGGCTGCTGTGTTTCGCCCACAAAATATGCAGTCAATTCACTCTACTGTAGATTCAGTGAAGCGGTTTGAGACGTCTCGAAGGCGTGATAAGACGCAATATCAAATGCAAGGATTATTATAATTTACAGAACTTATTTTTATATATAAATATAGGCTAAAGGGTGTACAAAAACAGGGTGACCGTGACAGGAGCTGTGTCAAATGTATTATTAGTGTATTACTGCTGTTGGCGCGAGATTGTTGTCTAAAATTCGCTAGTGGGTTTGCACAAGCTCAAAAGATACTCAGCGGGGTCGAAAGAGTGAGTCAGCTTTGCCTCCGACCCAAAAATACATTCGATCTAAATAGTGGTGGGTCCATGGTATAACCCTCATATAACACACAGTGTCGAGGATCATATTGGTATATTGGCTAAGAGCCACCAGAAGGGTTTCCTGGGAAAAACACGTCGGAGATGTTTTTGCCAGAGGCCACACAGTGGTGGTGCTGGTGGAGCCCTTCCGTTATGTGAAATGCTTTTTGAGGCATAACGAATCTAGTCCCTGCAAACCTGCTGCCTTATACAAACGTAAGCATTGTTTCAATTCCAGCCAGGCCCAGCATCTCACTCTCTCTCCGTTGACGTGTCCATGTTCTTTGTTGCACGGACAAACAACTTTTGTTGAGTTAAGGTAATCACGTGGCTTCTTTCCCTGCAGGTGTGATGTGCGTCGTGAGACCAGAAGGACTCCCTCTGCTTTGTAGAACTGACGAAATAGGCGAGCTGTGCGTGTGCTCCATCGCTGCGGGCACGTCCTACTACGGTCTATCAGGGATGACGAAAAACACATTCGAGGTAAGAAGCGTTGGAGGCGAGACGTTCACAGTTAATCACCGGAGGGAGGGCTGGCATTCTGCCTGGTTCATTTTAAGAACTGCACGAAACTGGCTCGAACGGACATTGGGAAAATCTGATATTACGGTGAGACCAGACCCGCCTCTGTGTAGAAAAGCACACACTTGAGGATGAACCCACAAAGACGGACTGTAGCTTGAAAGTGCTTAATGTTATCGTTTGGTGTTAAACAAAATAAATCATCCATGTTTCAGCATCTCTCCGGGCTTGTGATTAGCTCAATTAAACACAGGTGTTAGACAACGGAATGGAGAATCAAGCAGGCCAGTCTCGTTTGCCAGCCGTTTGTCCCCTTCGAGTCCCGTCTGAAGACCTTCCTCTTTGACCCTGCTTTCGGCCACCCTCCCACCCTCCCTGTCCTCCTCCCGTTCTGACCCGAACTCCCAGCTCGGGTCCAAAACCCCTGATTGTCCAGCGCCCTGGGACGTCTTTCCGATGGGAAGGACGCGATGCAAGTGTGACTTGTTGTTGATGTTGTTGTCGTAACCGAAGATCAAGTTGTTAAAGACCAATGTTCCTGCTAATTTATAACTTTTGATAAGTATTTTGAATGCTCCTGCGGGTGCATGAATAGTATTATTTCCTTCAGATGAGACATTAAAACCGAGGTCCCATCTGCCTGTTCAGGTGGACGTTAAAGATCGCACGGCACTATTCGAAAAGAGAAGGGAGTTTCTCCCCGTATCCTGGCCAACAATCCCCCGAATAAAAATTGGTCTATAGTTTCATGGCTCTTCGTTGGGACATTGCTGTACGCAATTGTCCTGCCACATTTGCCTACAAATACAAAGCCCTCTAAGACATAAGCTCTCTGAGATGCTGCCCCATGTGAAGGGTACCAACTTAAATGCAAGTTATAATAACAATAATCCTTGCATTTGGTATGGCACCTTATCACGTCTTCGAGACGTCTCAAAGCGTTTCACAGAATAAACTGTAAAGGGAATTGACTGTGTCTTTTGCGGGCGAAACGCGGCAGCCAATTGCGCACAGCAGCGTCCCCGCAAACAGTCGTGGATTGAGTTGAGAAAAAACTATTACCCACGGAAAAGCGATTTGTCAATCGACTAATAACCAGCTTCCTACTTACTGCTAGGTAAACAGAGGCGAGTGGAGTAAGGAAACTTGCTCAACGTTTCGCCCTGCCCGGGAATCGAACCCAAGTCCTCTCACTTGCGAGGCGAGTGCTCTAACCACTACAGGGCTCCACAAGTTGTTGTTGTTGTTGTCGTCATCCTATACCAAATGGCGATAAGGTGCTATATCAAATGCAAGGATCATTATCATTAATTTCTGTCTCGTGTGTCTTTTTCTTCCCCCGCCCATCTATGTTTTTTTCCCCCTCTCTCTCTCTCTCTCAAAGATGTTCCCAATGCTGAGTTCAGGAGCTCCTGTCAGCGAATACCCATTTGTCAGGACTGGGCTGCTGGGCTTTGTAGGCCCTGGGGGGATGGTGTTCGTCGTGGGCAAAATGGATGGTCTGATGGTCGTGAGCGGCCGGAGACACAACGCAGACGATATCGTGGCTACGGCACTTGCAGTGGAGCCAATGAAGTTTGTCTACAGAGGAAGGTAGGTGTTGAATCGAAGGAGAAAGATTTAGGGAGTCAAATATGAGTTTTGAAAGGTTTTTAGCGGGAGGAGAATGTGTCCACATTTCAAAGGAAGGAAGGAAGGAAGGAAGGGAGGGAGGGAGGGAGGGAGGGAGGATGATCCAGTCATGGTCATTTATTGGAGAGTTTAAATTGGCCGTAATGTAGGTCAGTAGAACGGTAGGTCAGCAGGACACAGGGGGAAAAGTTTGTGGATGTTGCCTGCACATTTTTGACAAGAAGGAAATTGAAGCTATCAATTGGAACATGTTTGAAAAACACCACAACAGCAAGCGGGGTGAATGAAGAGTCTTTTAGAGACGAACTGAAGAGTGCTAATTGTAAACCAGTGCAAAACAGGGAATCAACTCAAACATCAGGATTCTACACAGGTTTGTACCTTTGCAAGGCCGCTGATGAGAAGATCTAGGCTCTGGCTGGGTATGAAAGGCAGCAAGCATGTTCTTACACAAATTTGCCTTATTCCAGCTGGTTAAGATGCTTGATGACATTGAAATTACTGCACTTCAAAGCGAATAAGAACCTATTTAGAGGGCTGGAGTTCAGCGATTCAGGTTTTGAATGCAATGACAATGAGCCAAGTTTGGTTCAGTCTTGTCCCAAAATATTTGCACTGAAAACAAGCCCATGATGTCTTTTGTTAGGTTGAAAGGCAGAACGTTCTCAGACGCAAAGCAACAGCGCAGCGCGATCCAATTGAGCGAGCGGCCCAATTTGATTACGATCTTTGTCTATTAAACAGAATAGCTGTGTTTTCCATCAATGTTCTGCACGATGAGAGAATCGTCATAATTGCTGAGCAAAGACCAGATTCCACCGAGGAAGACAGCTTTCAGTGGATGAGCAGAGTTCTTCAGGTAAAGAGAGACGATTAGCGCAGTATATTCAAATTAAATACGGCAGAGAGGTTAATGAATGTGTTGGGAGTGTCAGTTGTCCCCACGCAATTGCTGTTTTCTGCCACTGCTCTGCAGTGCCCCCTGCTGGACATTTTTACGTGCGATGGTTGGGCACGGGATGGAGCAGTGGGACAGTGACTGGGACTGTTGACGCCTCAACAACAACAACTTGCATTTATATAGAGCCTTTCAAGCAGGACAGTGTCCCAGAGCAGTGCCAGTATTGGGATGCCTGTCACCAGTACCCTAGCAATAGTGGGTGGGGGCGGTGTGGGTGGGGGGTGGGGGGGTGATTGGTGGTGGGAGGGGTATTAGAAGAACGGAACCACACTCCGGGAAGGGTCACTGTATTTGGGCAATGAAATCGTGAGGGATTCTCCTGCATCTTTTTTTCTCGAAACTTGCACGGTCCTTTATTGAGCTTGGATTTTAATCAAAGAGTTGGGATGTGAATAATAGTGGAATAGATTAGTACCCGCCATTACTGGCCACTTTCACGTCCGGAGGACGTCCCAAGGCGCCTGGCAGTCAAGGATCCGCACCCGAGCTGGTGGTCGGGATCAGGAGGGGGTGGAGGGCGGGGAGGGTAGGGGTAGGAGGGTGACCGAAGGCACGCTCAAGATGTCTTGAAGGAGGCGAGCGAGGGGGTGAGGCGGAGGGACTGTGGGATGGGGTTCCAGAGGATGGGGACAGAGAGGCTGAAGGCCCGTCCGCCAATGCTGAGGCAGGCGAGGTGGGGGACGTGAAGCAGGCCAGAGCCCACTGAGCGGACGGAGCAGGCAGGTTGGTAGGGGCTCAGAAGGTCACAGAGGTAGTGGGGGAGCAAGACCATGGAGGGCTTTGAAGGTGAGGACCAGGATCTTGAACTGTATCCTCTGAGTGATGGGGAGCCGGCCGAGGGTAGGGATGATAGGGTCGAGGAGCCTGGCGCGGGAGAGGACACGGGTTGCAGAGTTCTGGATGATGTGCAGCCTGTGGAATGGAATGAACTGGAATGAACACAATATAATTAATACAAGGAATGGAAAATTGATTGTGGAACATATCAATGTTTTTTTTTCTGAAGGCAATCGATGGGATCCACCAAGTTGGGGTGTACTGTTTGGCGCTGGTACCAGCTAACACGCTCCCTAAAACTCCGCTGGGCGGCATACATCTCTCGGAAACTAAGCAGTGCTTCTTAGAAGGCTCCCTCCACCCGTGCAACGTGTTAATGTGTCCCCACACCTGTGTAACGAACCTGCCCAAGCCAAGACAGAAACAGCCAGGTAAATGAGGCGGGATCTCAATTGCAGGGATTAGTTTTTGCGTTGGCGGAAATCGGTGGTTTATATTTATTTTCGAGGGGCAAAATCGGCGTCTACTTTTAATTTGCTGCTTCTCGTTTTCTGGTCGACGTTTTCAAGCGCAAAAGCGGCGCAGAAATTTGGCTTTTTGGTGAAAGCCAAAGCCCTAACGGGTAGGGCTAGGGTGGTGCGAGCTGAGCCAAGCAGCGGGCAAGCTTGTCGGGCACAGATATCAATGGCAAGCTACATGGTTTCAGATGCTTAACCTCCAATTCTAAGAACATGCCTCGTTTATTTGAATGAAAAAAAGAGGACAATGCGGCCTTCGTTTAGGAGTTCATTTCTAGAGCTCGTGAAAGTGAGAGCGCATTTTATAAAGTGATTTTCTTTTCAGATTTACAGCCTGTTGAAATACTGTCTACTCTCTTGATTTCTTCCCTGCCCACCCCCCGACCCCCACCCACCCCATCAACTCCCTCCTTGTCCACAGAGATTGGCCCGGCTTCTGTCATGGTGGGAAACCTGGTTTCCGGAAAGCGAATTGCTCAAGCCAGCGGGAGAGATTTAGGACAGATTGAAGACAATGACCAGGGTAGAAAGGTGGGTAACTCTACGCTCTCGTGCATTCTGAATGGAGAAGCAAACCCCAAGCTGGAGTTACGAAACGTATGGAAAATAAATTGCTGGAGGATTTGGAATTTGACGTTGCTCAGAAATGGTCGACGCACAGATTTAAGTACATTTGCTTACGTGACGGTTTACATCCTAACCGACGCGAGCAATGTAAGAAGTTAGCTTTGTTGCCTTTTGTTTTGGCCACTTACACCGTGCGGTGGCTCGCAAAGCTTCAAGCATCACGATAAATTTGCTTCGACCATTATTGTGTTATCTTTGAATTGCGTTGTGTTTGTTGGGACAGAAAACTGCTGTGTAAGCCTCCAGCGGTATTCTCTCCACAGCATTTATTTCGACTCCACTTCTGGTCGCAATGTGAGCCAGCCCTTGCTGAGGTTTCCCAGACGTAGTCGGTTAATTCGCACATTGTGCTGCACAATATGGTTGAATGATTTGACAGAAATGTCTTAGAAGGTCACTCGAGGCAAGTTTGCTTGTCCCTCTGCAGAGAGAGAGAGAGAGAGCAAGAGTTTCCGTTCCCCCGCTACCCTTCTTTAGCTGTCGATCCAGTAACATGTCAGTTCTTGCGAAAACAGGAGTACACGACAACAGATGAGGTCACTATGTAGTCTACGTCATGGTGTTGCATCGGATGCAATGTCACGGCGTAAACTACTTAAACCTGCTGTTGTTGCTAGAACAAGACACTCGCTCAAATCCGCTCCCTCCCTTGTTCGGAGCGCATCTCAAAACAACAACGTGCATTTATTATCGAATCGTTTACGCGGGGCAGGAAATACGCTGGGCTGATCGTCAGGGGAGATGAATGCAGAGCTGGGGAGAAAGGCACAATTGAAGAGGAGAGACTTCAGGTGCAACTTCCAAGACTGGTCAAGAGGGGGCAAGGCGGAGGATTGAGGCAAGGAGTTCCAGAGGCCTGGGGGCTTTTGACCACGCTTTTGGTCATCTTTCCCTTTCTTATCCTCCTCGAGATCAATCCCAGCTCTATCCAGCACTATCAAAATCTTTGAGAGGTTGTCCTGATGTGGAAGAAGCTAGATAAGTTGTATTGTAACTGTATTGTGTGTATATATATATATATATATATATGTGTGGATTTTCAAAAGGCTTTGTACCAAATCAGAGGTTAATCCTGTTAAGGTGGACTTAAAGATCCCATGATACTGGAAAATGTGAATGGAGTTTCTCCCGGCCAGCAATCCTCATTCATTTATTTAATTGCTATTTGTGGAAATACGGGTAGTCAGAACACTTGACAATTGCCCGTGAAAGGCTTTGAAACATTTTGATGTGTTGCATCAAGTGTAAGGGTTATTGAGTTTTATTGTCTCTGTGTTGCTCTGTGCATCGTTAAAGTTGCAGAGGTTCATTGGGAGGGTATATATCCACTGGCTCCCTATCCTTCAGAGGATCCAGGTCAAGATCCTGGTCCTCACCTACAAAGCCCTCCATGGCCTCGCCCCACCCTACCTCTGCGACCTCCAAACCCCCTACCAATCCGCCCGTTCCCTCCGCTCAGCCGGCTCTGTCCTGCTCCACGTCCCCCAACTCACCCGCCCCACCATTGGCGGGAGAGCCTTCAGCCACTCTGCCCCCAACCTCTGGAATTCCATCTCCCAGTCACTCCGCCTCGCCCCCTCCTTAACCTCCTTCAAGTCCCGCCTCAAGACCCTCCTCTTCGACCATGCCATCGGCCACCCCCCCTCCCCCCCCCCCCCCCCCCGAACCCAGCTCGGGTCTGAAATGCTGTACACTGTCCAGCGCCTTGGGACGTCCTCCCGAGGTGAAAGGCGCTACACAAATGTAATCTTGTTGTTGTTGTATATTAATGCAGTAGGAAGTTGGAACGTAATCCTAATCCTTGTGTTTGATATTGCGCCAATCACGTCAGGAGAACGTCTCAAAGTGCTTCTCAGGATTTGCTGTAAAGTGTAGTGACCGTATGTTGCAGGCGAAGGTGACACCCAGTGTCTCGCACAAAGCCAGAAAGAGAATGGCCAGTTTGATCTGGTTATGTCGGCCTGGTCATCGGGAGAAACAGCTTTCTCTTTTCGAATAGTGCCAAGGGATCTTTTAAAATCCACCTGAGCAACCAATGTGAGTCAGAGATTCAGGAAAGTATTGTACAGAATAGCCCGTACCAAACCCACAGCCCACACACAGTTCTCAAATGTGTAATTCTTGAAGCCTCTTGTAGGATGTTCTTTTAACCGTGTAACTGCTGTGCTTTTCTTTCAGTTTATGTTTTTGTCCGAAGTTTTACAATGGCGTGCGCAGACAACCCCAGATCACGTCCTTTTTACACTACTGAACTCCAGGGTAAGTCTTGCGTCGACTATGCTTATAGCAAAATGCTCAGCGGAACTCTTTGTGGTAACGAGTAGCCAATTGGTGGTGGATGAGTTTCAGCGTCACGGTGGGTAATAGACTGAAATGTTAAGAGCTTGACCAGCCACTGGAGGCTGGGATTTTGCCGCCCTACATGCTGACAGTCTAAAGGGTTAAGACGCAAATCCTATGCCTTTCACATCAGTCGACATCTTTGCGTAAAATCTGGAAGAAACCATCTTGAGAGACAGTGTGGTTACATCCCTCACTACTTCTGTTCTTCAGCCATTTAACCTTTTGGTGGTTGACTTTAGTGCTGGGGCAGATTAACAGTGGCAGAGGCAACTGGTGAAAGACGAGACATGTTCACCTGGTGGCGGTTCATGTTTTATATTATTGGTGATTATGACTTGATCGGGAAGTAAGTGCTGACAACAACAACAAGAAATTACATGTGTACATCGCCTTTCACGTCGGGAGGACATCCCAAGGCGTCGGACAGTCAGGGATTTGTACCCGAGCTGGGGGTCGGGATCAGGATGGGTAGAAGGGTTGGGTAATAATCCAAGATTGATCGCGGTGCTCCTAAGAACGTGCACATTAATGCACCTACTCATTTTGGTGCGAAAAATACAGTGCGTGTGTGCAGGTACACTTCACAACAGCTCCTTTGAAATGACAAATGGTTCGAACGAGTATCCTGGAGAGTAGGACATTTGGTTTGCTTGGATTTTAAGGCTGCAGTTGTAACCCTGAGTCAATGGAGTGCAAATGGGTTCCCTGCTGTCCGTGCATTTTAATGTTAAATTGAGATGCCGGCTGGGCTTGACTTTAAAGGTAGGGTTCTGTAAAATCCGTGGTAAGGGACAAATCCCAGCTGTGCATTTGAAGGAATAAACTGCGTTTCAAGGTTTATAGGATTTAGAACGAATTGCTAACTGCATTCCTATTCCACTACATCGGAATTAACATGAATTGCACTGTACACAGTCAGCCTCTGTAGCTTTGTATTACTTCTCCCCTGCCAAAAGAAATGGATCTTACACGCTGGTCCGGTATTGACTGAAACCGTTGGCAAAGCAGCATTTTGGAATCCTTGGCTCTGATCGTTACAACAGTTGAACGCCACAGAACAGAAACAGCAATCCAGCCTGTTAAACTCTACACCGGTGTTTTCCTGCACATGAGCCACCGAGTTTAATCCCACCCACTCTCGCCCTGCTCGCCCCCGTGTTTCTTCGATTACTTTTGGTTCGTTTTACTTTTTTTCAATTCCCTTTTTAAAAAAGAATTTACGGACTTTTGTTTGGCTTTCGGCCTTGAGAGAAGACGACTCAGAGAGGAACTCATGGAGCTGCGTCAAATTTAAAATGGGTTTGAAAAAGCAAAGCGTAAAGGGCAATTTCAGGACTGATACCGGAAAGTTCTTCTTTACTCAAGAGAGCGATCAATGACTGGAAAGGTGGTATAGGACGGGACTCTTTTGCAAAGCAACTTGACGTTGTGTTGGAGGAATGGGTGTTCTGGCAGGTTGAGACCGGGTGGGGCCCAAGTGCCTTCTTCATCTGAACCGATCTTGTGAGCAATGGTTTGTGACCGAGAAAAGAGTTTCACATTCCAACCCTCCTCGCTCATCCTACTACCCCTTCCCTCCCCGCACCCCCCCCCCTCGACCAGAGAAGTCGAGCAGCACGTGACAGACACGTGGTTGATTGATAGACCGTGGTAAACACTTGAACAAATAGGTTGGAAACCCACAGAGGGTCACTCCACAAAAATATAAGCTAATGCTTCAAGTACGGCTGGCTCTTCGCCAAGTCTCACTCGCAGATCAGTTCTGAGGTCTCAACGCTGATCAGTGTTTTCTCTTTCAGATGCTGTTGGCCTGCTGTAGGCATTTTTTTATTTCTACTCCTTGGCGGGGGGTGAGGGGACAATGGGAGAAAGCTCTTTTTACCTGTCGCCTTTACCAGATAGAATTACATAAAGAATTATAACATAATACTACTAATAATAATCCTTCTGTTTGATATAGCGCCTTATCACGCCTTCGAGGCGTCTCAAAGCGCTCCGCAGAATATTCTGTAAAGTGAATTCTTATACAGTCATGGATGAGTGACCAAGTTATTATTATTTCCAGCAAAGAAACAGGCAATTGGATCCAGCTAGTCCGTGTCAACGTTTATACTCCACCCCTCCTAATCCCCTCTCCCATACACCTCTATTACCCTCTCCCTCAGGACTTCAGGATATTATGGATCTGATTTTAATTGAATTGGAGTCTCCATCTTTGGGCTGACCTGTAAGCAAAATGTTCTTGAATTAATGCCTAACCAATTCACAATTTATCTTTCTGGAATGCACTGCCTGAAAGGCAGATTCGATAGCAGCTTTCAAAAGGGAATTGGATAGGTACTTGAAAAGGAAAAAATGGGGGACTGGGACTAGTTGGATAGCTCTTTCAAAGAGCCAGCACAGGCACGATGGGCCGAATGGCCTCCTTCTGCGCTGTAAGATTCTATGATTCTAACCCACATCGGTCTGTTGGCTAACTATACAATAGGAGCGAAGCTACTGATTTGCTTCACAAAAGTTCTGCTCACCAACAGTTACAAAGACCTTATCTGTTGCGAAGTATTGGTGGATTATCTTTTGTAGCCAAACGTGTGCAGGTAACAGGCATCAAAATGCAAGGATATAGGCGTCAGTTAACTTAACAGTGATCAAGCCATATTTAAAGGATTGCAACACGATTTTTTTAATTTCATTTTTTTAATGTTTTGAAACTTGTACGGGAAAATGCATGAATAATGCACGACCCTTGGATATTCTTTATACATATTACAATGCAAGCAATTTACGTTCCAATATAGCGTCTTAATGTGGTGCTCTTTATGCAATAAAAGCATCATAATATTGTGTTATTTGTTAGTATTTCTGCAAAGGAACATTAATGATGCCCAATGTATGTATTGTTGCTTCCCCTCCCTACCCCCCCCCCCACACCCCGACCACCCCCTTCGGTAGAATTAGAACGGTTCTGGATGAACACGGGCGTATTTCTTCTGTTCCAAGTTGTTTGCTAAATGTTCCGAGTTAACATGAAACATGCACATCCGGTGCCTGGACTGAATGTTCCTTCCAGTCTGTCTAAAATCACCTAATTTGTCCAGTTTCAATGTTAACTCTATAATAAAGTGAGACTTCAAACTTCATGGAAGCAAACTTTTGTGTATTTTCTTCCCACACCCCCCCTCCCCCCTCCCTTCCTCAGGGTACGATAGCCAATTCTTTAACATGCCTTCAGCTGCATAAACGAGCCGAGAAAATAGCAGTCATGCTGATGGAGAGAGGACATCTACAGGATGGAGATCACGTGGCTTTGGTCTATCCACCAGGTAGGCTCCTAACTCCTCTTTCCTCCTCTTCAGCTGGTGTTGTTACGTGTCAGTTCCTCAAAAGGAGGAATCGCTGAGATTGCTCTGCGCTTGTTTACCAGCCTCTGTGGATGATGTTTGTACAATAACATCAGAACAACAGATTATTCCAACTTCCCAATTTCTCTTCCTCGCTACCTCTTTTCCTGCTTTGAAAAATCTCAAATACAGGTCTCTTAGACTGTGCCTTTAAATGTCTTTGTCCACAACTATTGAAGGCCTGGGAGACATCCTGCCGTATTAATACAAATTGGCATGTAACTCTAACACGGATTTCACCTTGGGAAGAGTTGTGTGTCTTGCCAGTCTTTGGAGACCTTGTTATTCTCATACCTGCTGCTCTGTAACCAGCCACCAGGAAAAGCACAGAGGCTTTAAGAGATTGATGTTCCCCTTATGATTCATCTTATTCCCCACCGCTTGACAGGGGAAGCCATGCCTCCGCAAACAATAGAATAATTCAGCTACAAATAGCACGTGAACAATACGAGTCCTGTCTGCCTGTTCAGGTGGACGTTAAAAGAACCCACGGCACTATTTCTCTCTCCCGGTATCCTGGCCAACAGTCCACCCAAATAAAATGAGTCACTCACTCCATGGCTGTTTGTGGGACATTGCTGTGCGTAAATTGGCCTCTGTGTGTTTGCCCACAAAACCTACTTTCCTGTGAAATGCTTTGAGACAACACGATGCAATGCTATATCAAATGCAAGGAATATTATTATTATTGTTATCATTATTGCTGTGAAAGGGTGTTAAAAGGGATGATTGAAGACAGCTGACAAGAAAAGATTGGACAGGTCGGAGATTTCCTCTTGGACATGACGATTGAGAGGGACATGTTTAAGATTATCAAAGGATTCGATGAGGTGGACTTCGAAAGGTTGTTTCTACATATTGGTGGCTGAAAAAACTACGGGACATAAATACACAATAGCCCATAATAATAATAATCCTTGCATTTGATATAGCGCCTTATCACGTCTTCGAGACGTCTCAAAGCGCTTCGCAGAACATACTGGAAAATGAATCGACTGTATATTAATTAGTAACAGATCCAACAGGGAATTTAAGAGAACTTCTTGATGCAGAGGGTGGTGAGAATGTGTGGGACTCACTTCTGGAGGCTGTGTTGAAGTAAAAATCATCGATGTATTCCAATCATCAATACAAATACCCTGTACAAGGTTAGACTAATGTATTTCAAATGACAGTCTCGAGGTGCTAATTTTTGCCACTGCTGCTCAACCAGATGAAACCGAGCACAGTTCAGATCAGTGATTTGCTTGTAATTGACCACATTTGACGAGAAATTTAAACGCTACAGTCTGCAGGTTGCCTGGAATTTGGATTGTTGCTCACTCTGGATTAGTGGTGTTCAGATTAGCAGCAATGCACTGCATTTCATTGGATTTATCGACAGCAGCTTTAGGTGGACTGGAAACTTTATAATAATCCTTGCGTTTGACACAGTGCCTTATCACGTTGATGCAAATGTCTCAAAGTGCTTCTCACAGGAACTACTGTTGTAAAGTGCAGTGACTGTAGGAAAGCGTTAACCTTCAGTGAATGATTAAAGATCACACCTCAATCCTTCTCCGTCACCTCCACAACAACCTAGCCACAATTTACATTTATATAGCTCCTTTCACGTCGGGAGGATATCTTAAAGCGTTGTTAGCACAGCTGACCGCAAGCCCATGAAGGTTGGGAGGGAGGAGCTGGGAGGAACTCCAGGATGTAGGTTCACAGGCGGTCACAGAAGGCCGAGGACATTGGTACAGAGTTCGGGATGGTCTGCAAGTAGTGTAGGGTAAAAGCCGGGAGAGTCTGGAGAGCAGAGTTTTGGAATAGTGGATACCCCCAGAGCATCTCCCTCATTCTCTGGCACGAGAATGTTGGACCCAGTATTATAAATTTGTTCTCCCCAGTGATCCACATGAAAGTAAATAGCAACGCTGCTTGGGATTTCTACGCCTTTGACCATGATGAAGCTACAACACGCAAACTGGGCACCCAACGCCTTGTGCCGCCATCAAGATATCTCAAAGCGCTTCACAGGATTTTAGTAACTGTATTTTGTAGGTGAACGCTGCTGTTAATTTACGCACAGCGACGTCCTACGAACAGCCATGAAGTGAATGACTGATTTTTGAACTGTTATCTGTTAGAATTGGCGGCCGAGACACCAGGAGAAACTCTTTTCTTTTCAAATAGTGCCCGTGGCATCTTTAACATCCACCTTGACAGTCAGAAGAGGCCTCGGTTTAATGTCTCATCCAAAGTATGGGCACATCCAACAACCCAGCACGCCACCAGCACTGCATTGGAGTGTAGGGCCTAGACCAGCATGGAGGAGAGAGGGGGGGAGAGGGAGTGAGGGGAAGAGAGGGAGAGGAGAGAGAGGGACGGTGAGAGAGAAGGGGAGGACGGGGAGAGAGGAGAGGGATTGAGAGAAGGGAACAGAGAGGGAGGGGGGAGCGGAACGGAGAGGGAGGTGAGAAGGGGAGAGCAGAGAGAGGGGAGAGGGGAAGAGGAGGATGCGGGATGGGAGAGGGGGAGAGAGAAAGGAAATTGAAGGAGAGAGAGAGTCACAGAGAGGGGGAGAGCAGAGAGAGTGAGATTGAGAGTGTGAGCGGGGAGAGAGAGAGGTGTGAGAGAGAGAAAGAGAGAGTGTGTGTATGAGTGGGAGGGGGGGCAGTGGAGATTGAGAGAGGGCGATTGACAGAGAGGGAGAGAGAGTGCTTGAGAGAGAGGTGGGGGGGGAGAGAGGAAAAGCACAGAGAGATGGAGAGAGCAAAGTCAGAGAGCGATTTAACATCTGTGAAAAACATGACATTGCTTTGCACCCTCGGCTCAGGTTTTTATTTGGGCGCAAAGGAACGTGTGATAAATTGGGGAGGTTTTTTAAACTGTAGCCCAATTTAAATTGATCAACGCCTCCAAAAGCAAGAGGTATCTGGAGTTCCTCCATTTGGTTTGTTGGCTGGAACTCTTTTCCCCTTAACCTTCCTTCCCAAAACAGTGATTCAAATCTGTAAATAGCCGATTAGAACCATTCATCTACTGACGTGAATTATTGACATTGACATATCTAATCAATACAGTACAATTTACATTTATATAGCGTCGTTCACGACAGGAGGACATCTGCTGACTGGGCACCAGAGCCTGAGGGTGGGGAAGGCTGGGGGTGTTGGGTGGGTGGGTGGGGGTGGGGGTAGGCGGTGAAAATGGCTGACACTGCAGTTAAAGAGGTAAGATTTGAAGCGGACTTTAAAAGGAGGGAGGGAGGGAATCGAAGAGTTCCCGATCGTGGGGAAGAATGCCCGAAAGCTGGCCCACCGAGGTTTGGGCAGACTGGGCACGAAGGGGAACACGCAGTGGAGCAGAAGAGTGACAGTAGGACACCATCGAGTATTCTACTCGGAGAGGAAACAAGCGGGAACCGCAGATAGTCTGGATTTTCTCAAAGGAATTAACCTTTGCAGGCTCCGTGTTGGAACAATGTGAGAGCCCAACTGCACGAGGGCAACCATACAGAGGCAGGAAAAAAACTCCTCTGAATCTAATGTCATCTCTCTTTGATATGTGTGTTGGTGTGTGTGTGTGACCCCATCTCCCCCATTCTCATCCGACTTCATTGGCTTTCTATCCTTCAGAGGGTCCGATTCAAGATCCTGGTCCTCACCTACAAAGCCCTCCATGGCCTCGCCCCACCCTACCTCTGCAACCTCCTAATCCCCTACCAACCCGCCCGCTCCCTCCGCTCAGCCGGCTCTGGCCTGCCCCACGTCCTCCGACCCACCCACCTTCAGCCACTCTGCCCCCAACCTCTGGAATTCCACCCCCCAATCACTCCGCCTCGCCCCCTCCTTAGCCTCCTTCAAGTTCCGCCTCAAGACCCTCCTCTTCGACCATGCCATCGGCCACACCCCTTCCCCTCCCCTCCCTTCTCCTCCCCCCAGCCCCAGCTCGGATCTGAACTACTGTACACCATCCAGTGCCTTGTGACGTCCTCCCGACGTGAAAAGCACTGTACAAATGTAATCTTGTTGTTGTTCTTGTGTGTGTGTGTGTGGTTTGTTCTGTTAAGTACTTCTGGCGACGTGGTTTGTTTTGAAGCTTGCACTGCGCTAATGTTGCACCTTGCCACTTAGCTGTGATTATTGTATTAAGGCGAGAAATCTTTTGTTCTTCATGCAGGAATAGACTTAATTGCCGCATTTTATGGCTGCCTGTACGCAGGTTGTGTGCCAATAACAGTTCGTCCTCCACACCCACAGAATATTGCTACGACATTGCCCACGGTGAAGATGATTGTGGAGGTAGGTCAACATTTGGCAATATTACGTACGAATTTCAGCATGTTTCTCCGCTAATTCTTGTTTGTCGAAAAGGCACAATACCTTTTACATTTACACAGCAGCGCCTTTCAAGTCGTGTGGGGACATCTCAAAGCACTTAACGTCCTGTCGATGTGAGAGGCGCTTTACAAATGTAATTTGTTGTTGTTGTTGTTGTTGTGGGGGGGAAATGAGTGGGTGGGGGAGGTGTTGGGGGGGAAATGGCCGAACTTGCAGTCAAAGAGGTGAGTCTTGAAAATGGTGTCAACCATCTTCTTTCGGCTTTTTCCATGGGTTGATTTTTCGTTTTTAGAAGCTATTTCTCCTTCGCGTTCTACGGTGCCGTTATGATTCGAAGGCCAAGAATTTATCTGGCAGCTGCGCTGACTGGCAAGCGTTCCTGCTGCTTGTCCAACTAGGACTGTCTTGCCCATTAAGGCTTTGGCTCTCAGGGTTAATGGAATTTGAGTGCAAGGTCCACAAGATACAGTGTTAAATCTAATTTGCAATATATTCTGTGAAGCGCTTACGGATCAACGACGTGATGAGGCGCTATATCAAATGCAAGGATTATTATGGGACGTTGCTGTGCGCAATTGGCTGCCGCGTTCGCCCACAAATATACAGTCAATTCACTTTACAGTATATTCTGTGAAGCGCTTTGGGACGAAGCGCTGTATCAAATGCAAGGATTATTATTATTATTATTGTTGAGGATCAGAGGAGAAATATTGGAGGAAATAATGGGCAGATGGTGGGACCTGGAAAGTGTGCTTCTGTAGAGGTGGGTGAGTGAGTGAGAGTCTATTCTTTTCCCTTTGCCTCAACTCACACTCACCGTTCAAGTGCTCATCTGCTCATCAGAATATATCGTGAAGTGGATTAACTGGGTATTTTGTGGACGAAATTACTCATTATACTGTATTCCCAAATATTTTCCCAAAGAAATCTTATCTAATTTGCATTTGAATGAATTGACCCTTTCAGCTTCCACCGAGTCTCCCAAGGGAGTCTGTTCCACAGATTCACCGCTCGCTCACTAAAGTAGTGCTTCCGCAGAATGGTTTTGAATTTACCCCCACTTCAATCGCAGTCTGTCTTCTGGTTCCGATGATCAAATGTTGTCTCTATGCTTTACCACAAAGTTAACACCGAGTTTCCACCCTCTTCCAATGCGTGCAAATGTTTGTCAGGCTCCGACCTTTGCTAATTGCTGTGCGATTCTTTCACCAGAAATTCCTTTCTTTTGTAGCCTTTTATCTTTTCCCGGATCTGGGTAAAAATAAATCATTTCCAACTGTTTCGAAATGATTTTTGTAATACATTAATATTCAAAAGAAGATGTGAGGGCTGAAACTCTACCCGGTCTTAGCCTTAAAATGTTAAGATCGCATAGCATTTGTGTGTGAAAGTTTTCAAATTCAGTCTTAATTTCTTTTGCAAGCCACTTTGTCTTAAAGCAATGTTCCTGTGCTGTAGTGGTTAGAGCACTTGCCTCGCAAGTGAGAAGACCTGGGTTTGATTCCCGGGCAGGGCGAAATGCTCGACAAGTTTCCTTACGCCATACGTCTCTGTTTAACTAGTGGCAATTGGTAACCCCGTTGTTATTCGATTGGCAGATCGCTTTTCCTGAAGTAATAATCCCTTAAAACTAACTAAATAAAGAAATAACTGGGTCACTCAACTGGGACTGTTTGTGGGACACTGCTGAGCGCAAATTGACTGTCACATTTTGTCCACAAAATAAACAAAGTTAATTCACTTCACAGTATATACTCTGTGAAGCCTTTTGAGGCGTCTCGAAGAAGCAATAAGGCGCTATATCAAATGCAAGGATTATTATATTTATTTTTAGTCTGCTTTTCCTGTCAATTTATTTTACGGACGACTGAAAACCGACTTCAGAGTTAAGGCAATTCGACAATTTGCCAAAACCTGAGTTTGCTGAAATGCTACTTTAATGGAGTAAATATAGTCTTGGGTTGAATTTCTCCCCGTCAGTCCTTTTAGAAGCAGATTGATTCAGTGCACGACCGCTAACTTGTCTGCTGGGATATCTGTGAACGTTCACTTGCCACCACAGTCACTTAACAGTCTTTGCTTAGCCTTTGCCCCAGTTTCGTCAATGGCTTCCTTTCTTCCGGTGGATTTGTATAAGGTTGTACTGAGAGCCAGCTGAGATGCCTCTCGCTCTGGCAGGTCACCTTACCGATTTAAAGCTGTTTCTACATATTCACCAAACACCTTCAGCGATGACCTCAACTCAGCCTCTTGGGGGGACGGTTTGGAAATGGATGAGCCAGCTGCCTTCGGTGCGTCAGATAACATACTCTGCCCTTGTAGAATGATTGGAGTCAGCAGCTTAGTCACCGCTTCACGATTAGAGTCCTTTGTACAAACCGTGGGCTTTACCACCCGTTGTTACCAATGTTAACATTTCTTTTAACATTTTTCTTTTCGGGTGCCTTTTTTGTGTGTGTGTGTGAGTGTGTGTGTGCGAGTGGACTGCCATGAGCTAACCTGGCTCCTCTGCTAGACGGCAGAGTGTCTTTCACAGCTTCGAGCACAGTTTTATCTGTTTGCATTTGGTATCATAAAAAAGCGCTGACTTCAAAATTATAATAAAATTAATCCTTGCGTTCGATATGGCCCCTTATCGCTTCTTCAAGCTACTGGATAAATATTAATGAGCCACCAAACCAAAATGTCAATAGCGAGCGAACTCAGAGGGCATTTCCCACCGTGGATGATTGACAACGGCATTACAAGCTTTCAAATATATATATATATATGCGTACAAGGCATGAACCGTCCCTTTTTGTGCAATTGACCAACACAAACAAGGTCACGTATAACATTTTGATATCAACGTATTTCTTTTGCTGTCAGTTTATGATCCTTTTATGATTGAATGGATCGATTTCAAGATCCTCGCACTTACCTGCAAGTCACTTCACACCCTCGGGCCTCCCAACCTCTCCAAACCTGCTGTCGCCCCATTTCCCCTACTTGCCACCTCCGCTTAACCAGCTTGGGCTTTCTGCACCTCCTCGACCTCTTCCACTCCACCTTTGGCCGCCATGGTTTCGGCCGCTATGCCCCCTCCAAACCTCTGGAACCCACTGCCTCAGTCCCTCCGCGCTCGGCCCACTCTTTAACCTATCCTGCTCGGACGGTGCTGCCTGATAAAAGTGTCTGTTCTTTGCGCTGTACGTGTATTCCTGTCCTCCTGCGTATAGGTGGGAAGCTGCTCTATACAAAACAAAACGTTGGTGCCTTGCGTGCATTTCAATAGAGTCTTCCCCTTTGTTGCCCCATTCAAAAGGGAATCGATGCAGATCATTGCGAGGGAGTGGAAATGGGAGATTTGCGTTGCACCAGAGAGCTTTCGTATTGTAATATTCAGAGGAAACTTGCGTTCGTCATGACGCATACAGATTAGAGACGACTCCTTAGGATTTGCTGTCCTTCCAGTTATGCTTTGCCAACAGTGGCTCCGCCTTGCCTTGCGCTAAGGATTTCTACGTGGGCGAGGCTGCAGTTGTTGGTTGTGCGATGATCTGGGGCAGGTGCCTGGCGACATCTTGACAGCGACGCTTTCTAACCTTGGCATCTGCTACATTACGTTTACGAGAGGACAGGGTGACGCACACCCTCACCTGATGTCGAGGGCTTTGCCTGTTCGAATGCAGCAATTGCAGACACGGCGACTTGCCTGGGATAACACTGTCGATCATATTTCAGCCGCCCAGTCCGTCCCTGGTGTGTGTGTGTGTTTTTTTTTCAACAGGAGACGGGAAACGACTGCATAAAATGTCTGGCTGGTGAATTATTCATTCGCCCCGGGTGCACTTTGCGCAATGTACGTGCACTTTATCTGATTTAAATGAGTGTGGCTCTTTGCAGAGCCTAGTATATGAGGGGAAGTGGCAAACACGCACTTATTTGCTTGAGTTTCGTTACTTTTTTGTTCGTGGAGGATGGAAGGAAGGATCCGTTTAAATGCTAACACGGCAGGAGATAACATAAGCGCTTTGTTAATCGGCTAAAAATGGATTTTAATGTTCGGATAACGCTGTTTTCTTTCACAAAAAGCGGAGATGAGGGTAAGTCCCAATGGCGTAGTGTGGGTGTAGGAGAAGGCACCTGTTCTCTGCCTATTGTTTATCCCAACGACAGCTGTTTACCCAAATGACAGCTGTTTACCCCAATGACAGATGTTGATAGGCAGTGATCAACCAGGTCTGCATTTGCCAACCACCGGAATGGTCCATTTTAAGTCCAGAGACACCTGGAGATGCTTTTACACATTTTGTTACAACACAACACAAATTCTCATTTATATGTATATATATATATATATATAGTGGCTTTCACCTCGGGAGGATGTCCCGAGGCACTTAAAGAAAGAGAAAAGCTGAGGCAGAAGTGCCATCATTTTGGTCTTTTCTATACATTTAGAACACGCACAGGCTCACCATTCCCCCCTTGTCTGGACCGTAGTATCCCAACCGGTCTAATCAAGTAGCTTTGGGGTTCAATTCGGTCTGTGGAGTCTTTCATCTGTCGTTGTCTATTCTGACACCTGCTGGTTGTGAGAGCAATGCTCATCAAACACAGAACGAAACCAGAGGGAAACTAGTTAACGCGAACAGTTGAAATAATCTCCCCACCCACCCGCCCGCCCACCCACCCCCTAACATTCCCGAGGAAAACAGTGGAGGATGATCACTGCAAAGCGAGAGATAGGATACGCTTTCAGGCCTCGCTCTTCATTGGAGTCACGATAAAATCTCACCTGAATCAGTAAATTTCACCTTCAAGGTCCCAGCCACACACTCTGCACTCCCAATGTTCTCCGGTGAGGGGGAAGGTGTTATCCTGTAACAGAGGCAGGTTTATGAGCAAACCGCAGCTGCCTGGTGCAGATTGCACATAATCTGCCCCGTAACACACAGTGGGGTTGATCTTGCATTATGTTGTAATGGAGAAATCCAGAGTTTAGTTATGCTGATTTGGAGAGAAATGTCCACTCGGTCTCTATGTATTTTTGGAATGGAGTTCCCACAAGTTCGGTGTCACTACGTGATGTAGTTCCAGTTAATGGACGATGCCCCCATGCCCCCAAATTAACCCCAGTGGCTTGCGTATTATAAAGAATAATAATATAATAATAATAATAATAATAATCCTTGCATTTGATATCGTCCTCACATCAGGAGGACATCTCAAAGCGCTTCACAGGATATCCTGTACGTTTATCAAATATATGGAGTCCTGTAGCTCGGTGGTTAGAGCGCTCGCCTCACAAGCGAGAGACCTGGGTTCGATTCCTGGCAGGGCAAAACCTCGGGCAAGTTTCCTTACTCCATGCGCCCGATAATCCCTCCAGGAAATAAATAAAATAACAACTTGTGAATCCACGACTGTTTGTGGGACACCGCTGGGCGCAATTGGCTGCCACATTTTGCCCGCAAATATACAGTCAAATCACTTCACGGTATAACCTGTGAAGCGCTTTGAGACGGCTGGAAGACGTGAAAAGCGCTATATCAAACGCAAGGATTGTTTTTATTATTATTATCCTGTAAAGTGTATTTACTGTGCACTTTGCAGGTGAACATGGCAGCCAGTTTCGGCGCTGCAATGCTGCATGAATAGCCATGAAGTGAATGACCAATTTTATCTGAGAGATTGTTGGCCAGGACACTGGGAGAAACTCCCTCCGCTATTTTGCGGAATAATGCCAAGGGATCTTTAACGTCCGCCTGAACAGGCAGTCAGAACATCAATTTTATATCTCACCTAAAGAACGGCACCTCCGACTATGCAGTGTACTGAGTTCAAAGTCCCGACGTGGGGTTTGAACCCATAACCTTCTGACTCAGAGGCAAGATTGCTACCAGCTAAACTAGTCTGACATCTGTGCATTCCCCCCACGTATCACCCAGTACACGAGAAGTGGTGTTCGTCATGACCTAACGACACAGAAATCAGCTACATGTTAGCACTCAGGAAGCTACCAGATCTACCGGGCATCCACCTTGTATGCCATCCAGCTTATAAGGGCAACATTATAACGGGGTTACCTTTTATATCTCCAAATACTGGCGCACTTAGAAGTGAGGGGTAAAATAGCTCCTACATTACAGCTGAGGGTTGGCAGTGTTATATTCTAAGTTCCTGTTGTTCTATCGCCTTTATCTATCAATTCCTACACCTCACCCCACCCTGTCTGACTTTTACTTTGCAAGAGAGAGACATTTGGTGGACAATATCCCCCACAGCTCTGGTCCCTTGAAGTCAGGATATAATCGTTGAACTTCCTTTTCACAATTGAGTACTATAATAATATGAATAATCCTTGCATTTGCTATAGCGCCTTGTCACATAACCACTGCCATATCTCTTTGGAATAACTTTCAATTTGTGTTGATCGATTGTTTTACAGGTCAGTAGATCGTCCTGCATAATGACCTCGCAACTGGTGGTAAAACTCTTAAGAACCAGAGAAGCAGGAGCAGCAGTTGACGTAAGAACATGGCCTCCTGTTTTAGATACAGGTAGGAGATGTGGGCTCAGAAACTGAGTGCGAAAAGGCTGTAATGCACCATGTAGGTAGACAACCTTCAAATTAATATCCCACTTGTGTCCACGACCTTTATTTTGCATAAGTACTCAACAGACCATTTTACTGACGTGTACATCAAGGGCACCTGTGTACACTGGGTTCTTCAATATCCCACGTCTGCCATTGAGACATTTATTTTATGGAATCACTGACATTATTAAAACCACACGTTCAAACATCCCACGTTCCCTCGCAACTGCTGAGGTTCTGCCCTCTGCACAAACTTGTTCATCAGCAAAAGATTGGATAGGGTTGGATGAAGAACGAACAAGGAACTGAGAGAGAGAGAGAGAGAGAGAGAGAGAGAGAGAGAGAGCCTCTGGGTTAAAGGAAAAAAGGTGGCAGAGAGTAAACTTTCATTAGCTTTCCCGATGCCGCATGAAAAATTTACATTTATGCAGACTCCAGGGTTCCCAAACCTTGGCTCTGCCAACCTGTGCCCAATACTTTCTAGAATCGGGCAACCAGGCCGTTTCCTTCCAGGGAGTAGAGTGCCCGTTCCACTCCAGACACCGGGAGCTTCCCACATATAGGTGGCATACTCTTCTGTCTGGTTTGGGTACTCCAACACAAATACAGGCTCTTAACTCTTGTCGGTAAGCGCTTGAGAGGATGCTCTTGTTTCGGTTTGCGTAAAGCAGTGGCAAAATTGTTCCTCAACTGCTCTTTAGAATTATTGGAGGGCCGAGATTGGTGGCGGTTATTGATCCGGGTGGAACCGCTCAGAAAAAAAACATTCAGCCCAATCTTGGGATTTCCAATCTTGACAATTCTGTACAGTAACTGCACACCAAGAGCGGTTTGAGTTGAACTACTCAGATTAGACTCGCGGTCAAATTTAAGTACGCTCATTTTCTTTCAGATGATTTACCAAAGAGACGGCCTGCCCAAATATACAAACCCTCAAACCCCGACACTCTGGCCTACCTTGATTTTAGCGTATCCACCACGGGAATGCTAGCTGGGGTGAAGGTAAGATGTTACAGATATCACTGTCACGTTCATGAGTCTTTTGTCTTAATGAAGAGTCACCCGAAAAGAGTGTTTGTTCTGTATCATACGTCTCGTCTTCCATACCAAGATAATTACCTGCAGAATAATGACCGAGGTTTAAAAAGGGAAATTGGGAGAGGTTATGTTTGCATGGGACTATGGAAACATGAAGCATTTTGGCTGCTTGGATCCATCTCCGGGCAGTCCTCTGCAGTTACCGTGCTCCCCGTGCCGATGGTAAAACACACTGTGACTTGTCATGACGCACCACTGCGAGGGTTTGCCTTGCGGAGGTGCCATGGAAAAGTATTACCAATGGAAGGGTCGGAGATAGAGTCATCCTGAACCACTGCAACTCACCTTCTGGGGCTATCGCTCCAGATTGGTGTTGGTGAGAACTGGAAGCAACTCTTATCTCTCCCTCTTGTCCAAGTGGGAACGAAGTGAGAAATATTCAATAATATGGCCATGGGGATAAAGCTAATCTCACCATCACTTTATTCTTGGATGCATGCCTGATATGGATTTGAGTAGCCAAGTATTATTGCATTGATAAGGTAGCTTGTTCTTTAGTTTTGTTTGTGTATATAAATTAAATGAAATTAAATAATTATGTACTGTTCTGTACTGTTCATCAGTCTTCGCATAACATCATTGTTGCGCAGGTTAATAGATTTAATGTAGTGAATGTGGTCACTTTTGCATCACTGAGGATTGATAAACTACTTGGATTAGACTTGCAATGCAATCTTTCATTGGCACTTTTGGGGACAGAATTACTGTAGATTATTATTCATTTTCTTTCTGTTGTTTTAACCAAGAACAACATTTTTTGTGGGACATTACTGTGTGCAAATTGGCTGGCGTGTTTTCCCACAAAATACATGACCTCCCCTCTTTAGAGCATACCCCATGAGGCGCTTTGAGACGTCTCAACGACGTGATTAAGGTACTATACCAAACGCAAGGATTGTTAGGATTATTATCGATCCTCAATCATCCTCTGGCAGTCACGTTTTCTGTTAGCCCAGCCCAGTCCCTTTCGAATATAAAGCGTAGAGTTTGACATAAAGCTTACCTCACAAACTGCTTGAGCTGTTGACTTGTCTGTGCCCCTGACAATATCGTCACCGATAAACTGCTGACTTCCAGAGCGCCTTCACTGACCCGATCGTGGGCACATAATAAGGCCACAAAAACTGCTGGGTTTCAATATGGCCGTTAAAAATAAATAACATTCTGGCAATCTGGTCAGGAGACTGTGCTTTGTACAGTACAAAGTAAGATGAGATACATCTGTCAGTCTGGACATGACTGTCTGCGATTGTGTGATAAATTTGACCTAATGTAAGGAAGCTGAACGACCTTTTTTTTTTGCCAAGGTACATTCAGGTTTACAGTGTTAGCCTTGTTGTATTGGGGAGAATAAACCCATCAGTCTTATCTTGAGACCAAATTCAGTTGTTTTCAGCGGGACTTTGTTTACCTGGGAATAAGTCAGGAATTAACTCTCCTTTGCCCATTAGTGAAGGGTTCAGTCAACTGGCTGAATAAATCAGGCTTCAGTACAGAAATTATTATGAAATGAAACAACTGCACATTGAAGACTGGGGAGAAACCGGGCAGTTTGATTAGGTAGTCAGCTTGGAAAAGCAACGTTCAGTGGGCAAGCAGCGGTGGTAGCGATTGCAAAGTTTCCAATTATTTATTTACGATAAAATAAAATCGAATGGAGTCCCGCTGTTGGGAGACTTGGAGAGTAGAATTGTTGCGTTGCTGGGAATAATATTCGTTTAATTATGATTTATTCCCTCGGGTAACTTAAATGTTCCATTTTTACATAATTGGTGGAGGAAGTTCTATAGATTGCTTTATTATACAAAGACTCTCTCTCTTTATTTTCGACCTCTCAAGGTTCCCGATGTTTTTAAGCATAAAAGATCTTTGTTCTGATCTCTAGTTACTAATGGAGTGAAAGGGACTGCAAATACGAGCAGATATCCAGCAGATCAACTTTACAGCTAATTAGGATATTTCCCCCCCAGTAAGTACCTACATTAGGATAAGAACCAAACAAGACTTAAAAATGCCAAGCCCTACTCTTATTAAACCAAGTCATCATCCTTGTGAGGTTCCAACGCATACCGATCGCTAAAAAGAACAACCTTTACGATTCAATTTTAACATTGGTAAAATCCCATTCTTAGCAAAAATACAGATTTTCCTTATTGACCAGAGTGTGTTAGATCTGAGGGGTCGATATGGTGCTAATATCCCTTAGATTCGAAGCTTTTTTTTTATTTCCAAGGTGATTTGTTTCTCTCTCTCCAGAAGACAAACACTGTAGACTTGTCTTCCGCAAGCAAATTACTGCGGTGGCAAGTGTTTTATTTGTGTTAACCGTTAACTTGCTTAGACACAAACTAAGCCTCTTTGACTCCATGCAGCCGTATTTGTGGCCTGGCCTGCTTCAAAGTAAACGTAGGCAACAAAATTCAGCCGAGTCGGCAGGAAATGATTCACACATATATATAATTGAGCGGCTAAATGGTTTTATATATTAATTCCTTCCCCGGTGACTGCTTTCCTAACGTGCCAAAAGAATTCCTCTCGAAACACTTAAGCCCCACCTCAGATGGCGCACAAACATGTACTCGATGTCGCAGCAGAATAAGTGTTTGTTTTCGTTTGCGATGAATACTTACACGGAACAGGGCATGATGTTCTTCATCCATGAAATGTGCACGTGTCGGACGTTAATTGTTTCTGTGCATTAAATGTGATGCCGAGTCTTGTAAGAATGTCCTCGCCGAACGAACGAAGGGTGTAGTTCACTCGTCGATGCCCCGTCTAGAGTTGTAGTGACTGACCCTTATCTATTGCTCTGCGTATTTGGAGAGCGGGATCCGAACACTGACTCTGACACTTCCATCGTTCACTGACTTGTTCGGGAACCCTTTTTATTTTGGACTCTCCTCCCCTACCTCTGCCCAAACCACCACCCCCTCCCTCACCACCACACTCTCCCCCACCGAGACCAGACTATGACCTCTCCCCCCCCCCGCCACCCACACACCCACACACACACCCCTACCCACCTGACATAGCCTCCAAGGCAGATCCCTTCAAAAAAGGCACAGAGAGAGAGAGAGAGAGAGTGGGACCGGGCAAACTAAAATCTAACCATACTTTCTCTCGTAGGAAAGTCCGAGTGTGGATGCTGGTCAAGACTTGGATTGAAATTCAGCGTTTTTCTCCTGCTTGGGGAGCGTTAACCCTTTTTTGCCTTGCAGCTGAAATAGTTCCATTGTGTGTAACATGTAACGGTTTTCTTTTGTACAAACTACTAAGAATTCTTAGTTTGAATTAAATGTAGAAAAACTACTGCTGGGAGGTTGAAGACTCTTACACAGGAGCACCCGGCATATATACACAGGCCTTGCCCTCTATTTCCATCAATCAGTTCACTCATAATGTGAGTCCTTTGATAGACTATTGCTATTTTATTGATGAAAGCCACCTTCTTCCTTCTATCTGAATATTAATCGAGCGTCCAAAGACCTAACTGGATAATCTAAATGTGCCTTATGTCTTTCGTTTTGAAACAGTGGTGTCCTTTTTTTGTTTAAAAATGAATGTTGCAACTGTTTGCTTGCGTTAAGATGATCCATGGGTTTAAAACAACCCTTGATGTTGCTTCAAGTTAGATTCGGCCATTCTCTCTTTATGTTATCCCCAAACAGAAACTATTATCTTAGTTGACCCTCATAGCTGCAGCCGCTTGAGCACTAACTATTACATCCTAAATTATTAACGCTCTGAGGACTTGGAAAATGTATTCAATAGGAATAGCCGAGCCTCTTAAACCGCTTTGAAATATCATTTAATTGAGAGGTCTAACCATTTTAAAGTAAACAGCTGTGATTTTCTTTTCCTGAAGACATCCCTAGTTTTACCACATCAGAAGTCTTTATTTCTAAATATGAATGGTTTCCAGTGGAACCTACCATCAAATTGTAATTTTATACCACAATGACTATGATCCTAATAATGTGCGGATACTAAAGTTATATTTTTGTTTTGTTTCCTGTGTGCTTTATATTAATGTCTTGTCTGGATATCGACAAGTTGCAGTCTGCTATTTTATTGACTTCTATTTTTAATTGAAACGTGTAGTTATGTATCTCTATCTACCAGATGTAGTTGTGTTAAGTAAAGATTCTTTTGTAAATAGCCTGTTTTGAATGGTGGGGAGAGAGAGAGCGACCTGTGGGGAGTGGGGTCGGGGTCGGGGGCGAGAGGAGGGATGTTGGGGGTGAGGAGGGGGGAATCAAAACTGCATGTTCTGAATTTGTTTTCTTTTTTAATGGATGGTGTTATTTTACGAAGGTGCTTTCAATCCCAAAGGGCTAGATTTTTGCCCCAGTTGCAAATGCCTCTCTCCCCCCCCCCCCCCCCCACCCCCCGAAATGGCCCCCATGTTAAGGCGATGGATAAGGGACAATGCTATTTCTCCGGTGGGGGTGGGTGGGTTGTGGCTGTGGGTTAATTAAACCAGGAAAATCCATGAACCAGCGTGGGGCAGGTGGGGGGATGTGGGGTGGGGGTGGGGGGTGCGGTAGAGAAGTCTAGTTCAGTTGGGTGGGTTTAACTGCAATTGAGGTTTAGATTTTATTTCAGTCGAGGAAAGACTTATGTTTCGGAAAAACGGGCCCCGATTATCTTTTGAAAAATCATTATATTTTCTGGGAATACTGTATATATATATATATACATATATATTAATAAAAATCCTAAATTGCCATTTGCATCGCCTCTCCCTAACTGAGAGTGGGGATCGAGAATCTGTCAGCCCAGTTTAATTAAACCGTTGCTGCGTTATTTAAGCGCTTGGCGTAATCGAGCGCTGTGGCAGCAAGGTGGTGGGGTGGGGGGTAATGAGATGCCGCATACGGAGCCAAACCAGGCCCCACTTTGTGCCTGTTCTGAGCCCCGTCTTTGCACCTTCGGCCGTTTAAATCTTAAATCGTTCTGTTGCTAAGACGTAGCTTTGGTTGTGAACGTCCCGGATGTTGGAGTTTCTGCTGAGACACTTTCTTTACCCTCCAGATGTCCCATGCAGCAACCAGTGCCTTGTGCCGATCCATAAAACTACAGTGTGAGCTTTACCCATCTCGAGAAGTGGCAATCTGCCTGGACCCCTACTGTGGCCTGGGCTTTGTTCTTTGGTGCCTCTGTAGGTGAGCGAACGCTGCTTTCACTGTGCTTGGTAACCCCTGCCCATCAGCTCGTAGATGTCTCAAAGCGCTTCACAGGATTTTTACTCTAAAGTGCAGTGACAACGACAGCATATATACCCAGCGCTCGTCACGCAGGGCAGGGTCTCAGACAGCGCCTAACCAACGGCGGAGCCCGATGCCAAGCTGGGGGGAAGTGCGGAGGTGACCATAAGTACAGTCGAAGAAGAAGATGATCTGCTGTGTATTTTGCAGGACAACTTGCGCACAGCAGTGTCCCACAAAGAGCCATGAAGCAAACGATCGATTTATCTAGGGGATTGAGAGTCAGGACACCGGACACACAAACCCGCTTCTCTTTTTCTGTTGCGCCATTTGATCTTTAACATCCACTTCAACCGGATCCTCAGCTTAACATCTCAGCTGAAGGACGGCACCTCCAACAATGCAGTGCTCACCCCACTGCTACATGGAGTGTCGGTCTAGGCTTTATGAATGCAAAAGCCCACAACAATGTGAGAGTGCCAACAACTGAGCTAGGCCTGACACCCGTATCTTACAGTGTTAATTGGAAAGCGTGGCGTTAATGATGCCGGTGTTAATTATTCAACGCTCAAACGTTAGCCCCTATTTACTTGTTTGCGTGACTGAAAAACTACGAATTGATTTTAATAAAGGAGGCTGTGCTATGGCAACAGTCTTGCGTGCAAAATTGGCTGCCACATTCGCCCATGAAATACACACGGTCACACCTCTTTACGGTATATCCTGTGAAGCGCTTTGAGACGCCTTGGTGATGTGATAAGGCGCCTTATCAAATTATATTATAATTAACAGTCTGGCAGGGAAAGGCATCGTATGGAACAACCCCCAGCCATAATACAATGCAGAATTACATTTGTAAAGCGCCTTTCACGTCGGGAGGACGTCCCGAGGCGCTGAACAGTCAGGGATTAGGACCCGGACGGGGTGGAGGAGGGGGTTGGTTGGGAATCAAGGGAGGGTGGAGGGCAGCGAGGGTGGAGAGTGACCGAAGGTACGGTCGAAGAGGAGGGTCTTGAGACGCGCCTTGAAGGAGGCGAGGGAGGGGGCGAGGCGAAGGCAATGTGGGATGGAGTTCCAGAGGGTGGGGGCAGAGAGGCTGAAGGCCCGACCGCCGATGGTGGGGCGGGCCCAGGCAGGGGTCATGGAGCAGGCCGGAACCTGCTGGGCGGAGGGAGCGGACAGGTTGAAGGTCTGTGTTGCAGGTCTGTGCTTAGTTCACGCATCTTAGTTGCTGTCAAATTGTCTGTACTGCAATTGGCTTCGGGGACCTCTGGGCTAAGTAGAGGGATCTAAGCCAAGGTTCCTGCTCCAGATCACTACCCGACGACGGTTCCTTTGCCTTCACGAAGTTGCTCGAGTGAGGAACAGGTCCCTGAACAGTCAAAACAGCCCGTTGACGCTGACTGTCAGGTTTCAGACTTGAATATTGGCTGGTCCCTGTGCGAGATATCGAAGGGTGGCTGATAATTTAACTGTTCCCCAGTCGAGAGGTTAAGGAGTGAGAGAGACACACTGGAAAGAGGAAGAGAAATATTGCGGAGGAAGGAAAGGACTGGTGTACTGATCGTTTTGTCTTTTGACCTGGAAGAAATTATGAAACGGTTATAAATTTACAACATGGGTTTTACGTATTGCTTAGTAAATATAAGGGAAAGTAAATTTGAAGAATCATGTTCACAATGCGTGGCCTAGCAGCAGGGGGTAAGCAGCCTTCTGTGGCAGAAAAAAATAATTTGGAGTCCTGTAGCTCAGTGGTTAGAGCACTCGCTTTGCAAGCGAGAGACCTGAGTTCAATTCCAGGCAGAGGGCGAAACCTTAGGCAAGTTTCCTTACTCCACACAGAGCCTAATAATAATCCCTCCAAAAACTAAAAAAACAATAATAAATTGGTCATTTTCAATCTACGACTGTTTGTGGGACATTGCTGTGCGCAATTGGCTGCCGCGTTCGCCCACAAATATACAGTCAATTCACTTTACAGTGTGTTCTGTGAAGCGCTTTGGGACGTCCTCCCGACGTGAAAAGCGCTATATCAAATGCAAGGATTATTATTATTATTATTATTATTATTATCTGAGTTCATGTCGTATATAATAGCTCCCTTGCAGGAATCGACTATAACCTTCTCTTTAATAAGGCTATATAAATATGGCTCCAAATATTTTCAATATTCCATTTTCAATGGTCTGCTATGAACTGTTCATTAAGGCATGTAGCTTAACGTAACTGTATGAAACAATAGAGATGAGCCATGTAAAGTCCCCAAGATGACTGCCACAATCATTTTTTTCAAGTGACTATTAAATTAAGAAGGCCCATCAAAAAAAAAAGACTGGGAATACTGTGTTAAGTGTGGCAGTAAATCGCTTGAGCATTAATTTACAAGCTTTGTCTGGCATGCTGGTGAGGCATGCTGAACACAACAGATGTTTAACTCTTATTGTTATTAATAATGAGTTGCATTTATATAGCGCCTTTCAAATAAAAAATATAAACTTCGTCAAGTGCCTTTGCAAGACCGAATCGATTAGAAATGTGCAAATCATTGGTTAAGCTGCAGCAGGGAGCACTGCGTTCGGTTTGGGGCACCTCATTTGAGGAAAGATCTCGGAGAGGGTGCAAGAATTTACAAGGATGGTATCAGGGATGACGAGCTTTAATTATGAGGAGAGATGGCAGAGGTTGGGTCTGTTTTCATTGGAACAGCGAAAGTTACAAAATTAGGCGGGGTTTTGACAGGGTAAATAGAAAGAGATTACTTCCATTAGGAGGGCAGTGAGGAGAGGACATAGATTAAAGGTAGTCACAAGAAAAGCGAAAGGACGATTTGTTTTTTACACTCAAGGGTTTGGGGGTAGTGGAACGCCTTGTCAGGTAAGATGGTAGAGGCAGAGTTCATTGTGGATTTCAAGAGGGAAGAGGACAGGTATATAAAGGATAAAGGTTGAAGTGGTATTGGAGGTAAGGGGCATTGAATGAACAGTTGGTTCTGAACTGGTGCAGGCCTGATGGGCTGAATGGCCTCCCTTGTGTGCAGTAAATTTCTAGGGTCCTATGAAATGAAGTTAAAATCGTTAGGCTGCCAAACACAGCAGCTATTCTGTTACCGCAATCTTTCCCCCCTCCCGCCCCGAAAAAAATTGTCAAGACTGCCCCTTTCACTTCCATCAGCTCCCCTCACAACCTTCACGTGCTCCAGTGAAAATAGCCCTGAATCACAAGGCAGGTGGAACCTGAGATTTCCCAATTTCCCAATAAAAGAGTGAGGTGATGTCCAGGAAATAGATAAATAACATTATATATAGCAAAGAATTAATACTATTAATAATAATAATCCTTGCATTTGATATCGTGCCTTATTACACCTTCGAGACGTCTCAAAGCGCTTCACAGAATATACTGTAAAGCGAATTGACTTGTATATTTTGTCCGCGAAACACGGCGGCCAATTGCGCACAGCAGTGTCCAACAAACAATTGCAGGAGTTAGTCTGTGCCAGCAACGACCCACAAGCAACGTGTGAAATTAAAATTGGATACAGATTTCAATCAAGAAAATGATGCAGTTGATCCAACTTGGCTTTGCGCTCAAACATTCACTCCCACACAAGCCAAAAGATTAATGAGGAACCTGCATTCACTTTGAAAGGGCCATATTTCAGATAAGATGTTAATCCAAGGACCTGTCTTCCTGTCCAGATGGATGTTAAAGAACCCATGGCAGTATTCTAAGAAAGCGCAGGATTTTATTTCAGGGTTTGGGCCAATAAACTTGTCCACTCACTCTGTGGCTGTTTGTGGGACATTGCAATGTGTAAATTCGCTGCCAGTTTTACCCACACAACACAACTTTTTTCCATGTATCCTGTGAAGCGCTCTGAGAAGTCTCAATGACATAAGGCTCTATCACGAATGCAAGGAGCATAATTGTTAGATGCTGCATAACATACCTGAATAAAAAAGTGTATTTCTTGATTCATTTTTGTTTTACGAAGCCAAAAATATATAACTGTGCGCTGCAAAGTAACAGTGCTAGGTACTTTGTTGGACAATTTGAATCTAGACGAGAAAGGTCTGGCAAGCTTCCTGAAGCTGGTCCAACTAGGATTACCCTATTGGTCAGCAATTTGTCTTGACGGGAGCTGAGTGTGAAGAATCCATGCCCCCAATGCCAGGCTCCTCCAAATGCTGAGCTAGGCTGGATGATCTGTCATTGGCAGTGCCCTAAGAGTATGGCAAATTGTGTGTGGCTCAGGAACAAGACTACCGAGACTGCCACAGAGGGTTGACCTGATTCTGACATCCCATTACCAAAGCATGTCACATTGGAGCTAGGTCAGCTTCAAGAAGACCCTGCTTACCTCACCCTTGCCCCCCCCCTCCCCCACCTCCCATCCCATCAAAGGAGGATGAGGATATGATTCCTGTTCTTGTCTATTTTGTGGGAAACCTCTCCTGGGGTTGCAGCGTTAGGAGTTCTGGAATTTCCAAACATCTGGTGAAAACGTGAATTCCGGAAATCCACCTTCTACTCCGAACAAAACCAGACCATTTTGTCTGGGGTCCAGTTTCTGTGTTTTGTAACGCACGTAAACACGGCAGTTCATTTGCGGCTGACGAATCCGAGCGACCAGTTTTCAGAATATATCATCAAATTCACCCGTCTTATCGCCCACCCCATCTCCCTTCATGTACTATTGCATCCCGTAATCTAGCAACCTTTGTGACTGCCACAGGAACCCTTGATGTGATGCACGCATCAGGGAGAAGGGAATAGAGGAGTATAGGAGAGGGCATAAGGAGAGGTGTTGGGAGTCTAAAACATTGGCTCAAACTCGCCAAATGACCTGTTTCCATGCTATCACGTTCCACGTAATTCTAGGTAGTCAAATCATCGCTGCTTCAGTTTGTACTTGTGCTTGTATTAACATCCAGGCGTCCTCCTTTGCAGTGTCTACTCGGGCCACCAGTCCATCCTCATTCCTCCCTCAGAGCTGGAGATCAATCCCTCACTCTGGCTCTTTGCAGTCAGCCAGTACAAGGTCCGAGACACCTTCTGCTCGTACTCTGTCATGGAACTCTGCACCAAGGGGCTCGGCTCGCAGACCGAATCGCTCAAGGTTAATGATTTCTTCTGTTACAAACTGTTCCTCTTGAATGTTTTGGTTTGGGTTGTAGCCGCGTTCTAATACTGGGCATCTGTTCTTATTACACCAATAAGGGAAAGCTCCCCACATTGGGAACTGTTGAGCGCTCCCAGGGCCAGTGCAGCCGTGGTGGGAGCCCACAAGGATGAGAAACTATGGTTGAATACTTTGATGCAGGAAAGAACTCCAGACCTTTTTGAAAACAGGCTAACACACACTAGTTCCGCATTCGGCTTTGAGTACCAGTGGTGACTGTGTTGTTTGGGAGATTCATTTCGCCCAGATAAGCAGCGTAAGATAATAATAATAATCCTTGCATTTTTTTTACAGTGTCTTTCATGTCGTGTGGACGTCTCAAAGTGCTTCACAGGATTTTACTGTAAAATGCAGTGATTGTATATGTAGGCAAATGCAGCATCCAATTTGCACACGGCATCGTCCCACGAGCTAACCGTGAACTGAATAAGCAATTTTATTTGAGGGATTGTTGGCCAGGACACGAGGAGAAACACCCTTCTTTTTTCAAATCACGCTAATAGATTTTTAACGTCCACCTGAACAGGCAGATGAGCCCCAGATTTAATGTCTCACCTGAAGGATGTTACCTCCGTCAATACAACACACCCCCAACACTGCACTGAAGTCTCAGCCTAGACTATATAAATTCCTTTTGTGGGACTCGAACCCACAACTACCGACTCAGAGGAGCTAGGCTGACACTAGGAGAAACAAAATACAATATCACGTATAACCTCCACCTACAAAATTCGGTCACCCCTTTGGAACTCCACCTTACAGTCCCTCCGCCTCGCTCTCTCCCTCGCTGACTTCAAGGCACGTCTCAAAACCCTGCTCTTCGACCGAGCCTTCAGCCACCGCCCCCTGCCCTCCACCCTCCCGATCCCGACCCCCAGTTGGGGTCCAAATTCCTGATTGTCCAGCGGCTTGGAACGTCCTCCCGACGCGAAAGGCGCTTACACAAACTTAATCTTGTATTGTAGTACACTTCACAGTAAATCCTGTGAAGCACCTTGAGATGTCCTCCCAAGATGAAAGGCAAGGATTTTTATTCTATCTGATACTTAACATGTTGCAGTCTCTCCTATGATTGACGTGCGTCTGTGTTTGTTTCCAGGCCAGGGGCTTGGACTTGTCTCGAGTGCGGACCTGTGTGGTGGTGGCCGAGGAACGTCCTCGAATAGCACTGACCCAGTCTTTCTCCAAGTTATTCAAGGACCTGAACCTTAACCCAAGAGCTGTTAGCACATCCTTCGGCTGCAGAGTGAACCTCGCCATTTGCCTTCAGGTAGGAATCTACGAGTTTGCTTTTCGGAACATAAAAAGCTTGCCCTCGTATTGAAATTGTGCTTTTTTTTAAGTTTAAAAACGCTACGTGGCTCTTGTTTTGTCCGTCAACATCCGGCTGCTTTTTTTTCTGACATCGAAAAAGATAAGCTTATTTCCGTGTTGTGTTCATTTTGTTTTTCGCTGTAGAACCGTACAGGCGGTTGCTTGCTTTATGCTTTGCTGTGACTGTCTGAGGGAAAACAAACTCACTTATTCCCAAAGCATGACTTTCACCGTGGCCTGCATCATGTTTATGTAACACTGATCCTGTCCTCCGTATCTTCTTTTAATTTAATGCAGCACTTATCAATTTGTACACAATCCTTGCAAAGAGCTTTGGCAGACAGTCTCGTTATACACGTTAAATACAGATGCCTTGTGCAGTGAGTGAAGAGGCAGGGAATGGGGTTCACTGTGAATCAGTGATTGCCTTGTTGGTGATTAATTAACACATATGTAGGGATATCTCTAACCACCTGTCAGTTATACTTAAGATATAGTTAAGGGTTTGCCCTCAGTTGGCCCCAACATTTTACAGCAAAGCACAGACTGTACAGTAAATGGGGTGATAGCCTGGTGATTTGTGGAAGGCTGGGAATGGTTGGGAACAAGTTCGTTTGCCGAAAGAGCAAATTGCAGCAAATTAAGTTTTTGGGGAAGCATCTTTTCCGCTGCCTTGGGGGAATCTAGTTTTGTATTTTGTAGGCGAATGCGGCAGTCAATTTAAGCAACAGCCAACTGTACTCATCAATGCCCCACAAACAGCCACAAAGCCATACCCCTACAAAATACTGTGGTTTTTAGTAAATTCGGCGAAGCACTTTGGGACGTCCTCCTGATGTAGAAGGAGTCATATCAAATGTAAGAATTATTATAACAATAATAATAATTCTTTCATTTGATATAGCGCTTTTCACGTCTTCTAGACGTCTCAAAGCGCTTCACGGCATATATTGTAAAGTGAATTGACTGTATATTTGTGGATGAAACCCGGCAGCCAATTGCGCACAGCAGCGTCCCACAAACAGTCATGGATTGAAGTGACCGATTTTATTATTGTTTGTTTACTAGTGATATTATTATACCATTATCCCTTCCTCGGAGACCCACACCTCCATTGTAAAGTGCTCTGAACACTATTAGCGAAAGAGAGTCTAAGAGTTCGAAATTATGAGACCAGAATGGGCTGTGGTTGGCCACAAGCAGTAATTAACAACGTTTCTCTGATAGTTGTATCTACCGATCTGACGGGTGGCGCCAACTAATTTATGTGCGAAGGAAGTCTCATCCTGTTTTAGTGCAGATTTGTGCATTCTCTAAACTTCCTGAGCTGTTATTGAGATAGTCTAACATTCAATTGCCAGTTTTAGTCATTTTATCTCTAGGATGTGGTAACTTTTAAACGTCGTAATGCCAACAGCAACATGAATTTACACCACATCCTTTGCGTTTCACAAATACAGGGCCAGGCGTCAAGGGAGAAGGGGGAGAGGATATCTTTGTACCCCAGGTGTTTTATTTCTTATCTGATATTTCATAGACTGTGTTGATTTTTGTCTCGTGAAAGTACATTGAACTGATTTACATCATTTATGCCTGCTTGTTTGTCTTCAAAACTCAGGTATACTTCTATGCTGTGCACTTTACTGCATAAAAGTATTGCAATCGTAGCTTTCCTCCCGACTTGAAAGGCGCTATACAAATGTAATTTTGTTGTTGTTGTTTTACTTACATTTATTTACACAGCGCTCTTAAGTAAAGGAACATCTCGAAGTGCTTTGCAACAGAGAGAATTAGTAGGCCTGAAATGGGTATTGTTACATACAGGGCCTTCTTAATAGAATTGAAATATCCTAGAAAATATCTATTAATTCAAATTCAGTGTTCTGCATTCCAAGTAATCGTTGTTAACTTTTGGATAAAGAGGATACTGCAATTTTAAAATGTAGTTACTGTTGCGTGTCAGCCCGGCTCGGCTGGTAGCACTCTTGTCTCTGAGTCAAAAGGTGTGGTTCAAACCCCATGTCGGGACTTTGGAACTCATTTAGTCTAAGCTGACACTCCAGTGCAGTGCTGGGGGTGTGCTGCCGTGTCGGAGATGCCGTTGTTTGGATGAGATGTTAAACCAAGTCTGCCTGTTGAGGTGGACATGAAAGATCCTGCAAAAAGACCCAGTCACTACACTTTACAGCGTAGCGCGTGAAGCATTTTAAGACATCCTCTCTGACATGAAAAGCACTGTACCGAACGTTAAGGATTATTATTATGTATGCGTGGCCTCAGACAGCGATGTGGCATTTTTAACGCTGAGAGGACAGACTGATTTAGGACGTACAGAACCATAGAAATTTCGAACACAGGAGCCCACTTGACCTGACCCACTGTGCCTGTGTTGGCTCTCTGAAAGTGCTGTCCATTCAGTCCCGTTAAATCAATTCACTTTACAGTATATTCTGTGAAGGGCTTTGCGACGTCTCAAAGACTTGATAAGGCTCTATATCAAATGCAAGGATTATTATTTATTATTATCCTGGCTTTTCACCAATACCCTGTTATATTTCTCATTTTCAGATACTATCTAATTATCTAATTCGCTCTTAAAACTTAATAGGAATTCAGCCTCAAACATGGTCCCAGTTAGGACATTCCACATCCTAAAAACCCTTTGTGCAAAAAAAAAGGCTCTTTTGGTAATTGCCTTTTGAATTTCTGCCCCAAATTATATAGAGGGTTTGATTGCAGCAAAGCCCTAATTCGCAGCATATGTGGACTGTTACCAAACTCCATCTTAAGTGTCTCAATTCATTAATTAATTGAAGAATCGCTTAAATTGAAGATATTTTACGTGGAGAAAATTGATACTTGACCAAGAATTTTAAATTTTTTAGCCTGTGTGCGAAAGAAAATGAATCTGAAGTTAATTGAATTGCAGTCATTAATGATCAACCCAAGTCATTGTAAGAGAGTGTTAATACAAATTGGTACTTACACTAGGAAATAATGCTTAAAATTAATTATATTATACTTTACAAGCTTAACCCTTTGGCCTTTTCTAACCAAGCACTCAGAGGTGAGTTATCTCCAGTGCAATTGAGTCTGTAGTCATTATTCTGCGTTTGTGAAACCATCAGAGTAAATATATTCCTTACCTTTTGCAATTAATTCCTGTATTCAGCCGTTGTTGCTGCTGATAATAATAATTTTCCTTGCATTGGGTGTAGCACCCTTTAATATCGTGAGTGTATCCCAAAGCATTGGAGTGGCTATGTGTTTTTTGGGGTGCAATTTGGTAAAAGAAATCCCGCAAACAGCCAAGGAGTGAAAGACCAATTTTATTTGGGGGATGGTTGGCCAGGACGCCAGGAGCAACTCCCTTTTCTTTTAGTACAGTTCACAGAATTAACAGTGGCAGCATTTATCACTCAGCTTTTTTGAGTGAATTTGTTTGACCCTTTGCTGGAGGAGATATTTTAAGACTTCAAATTCCACCTCGTCTCAGCCTGTCAGACTGTTTTGTCATAGAATTGAAGATCGGGCAGAATTGATGAAAATTCGTCAACTGAGTTCAGTTTTAATTCGGAAGTCGGTTTTGTTTCAACAATTCGGGAAAACCTGACTTGCGACTTGGAGCTGAATTTAAGAGTTTTCCATAATTCTGCGTGATCGCTAAAGTAAAGTAAAATGGCTTTCAAGGCTAAATACCAAGTGGAATTTCAGGTCTTTAAGTTCTTGCTATCACATCAAGAGTGCCAAAGAAGAAACAAATTTCTAAACCAGAATGTAAATATTGTCGCATGTGGTGATTTGGATGTGTCCAAGAATAGACAAGAAGCGCAGAATTGTCCGTCTCATTTCCCTTCTAAGCTTCCTGCGATGGTAATAATAATAATAATAATCCTTGCATTTGATATAATGCCTTACCTGGTCTTCGAGACGTCTCAAAGCGCTTCCACAGAATATACTGTAAAGTGAATTGACTGTATATTTTGTGGACGAAACGCGGCAGCCAATTGCACACGGCAATAACGCCTCATCATAGAGATGGAATATAGATAAACAGATCAGGGAAGTGAATGTGTGGCTGAAACAATGGTGTGAGAAGGAGTGGTTCCATTCCATAGGACACTGGCACCAGTACTTGGACAGGAATGAGCTGTACTGTTGAGATGGGCTGCACCTGAATAGGGCTGGGACCAAGGTACTAGCAAAAAAGATAAATAGGACTGTATAAAAAGCTTTAAACCAGTAAGGGGTCGGGTGGAAACCAAAGCATAAGGCAAGGAGAGGATGAGAGCAATTGTCAGAATACCAATAATGATAAAGATAACATAAACACTACAAGAAAGAAAAAAGGTAATAGGAAATAAAACTAGTGAGCCAGAAGCACAAATTCAGCTTAAAGGGTATGATGTAGTAGCCATTACAGAGACCTAGTTACAAGCTGAGCAGGACTGGGAGCTAAATATTCCAGGCTATAAGATCTTTAGAAAAGACAGGGACATTGGGAAAAGAGGAGGAGTAGCAATATTGATAAAAGATACCATTAGAGCAGTGGAAAGGGAAGATTTCCGTAAGGGTGATCAGGTCGTGGAAACATTGTGGGGAGAATTAAGGAACAACAAAGGCGGTAAGACTCTGTTGGGAGTTGTCTACAGACCTTCAGAGAGTTGTGATGTAGTGGGGAAATGTATAAATACAGAGAAGCATGCAGCAAAAGCAATGTGGTTATAATGGGAGATTTTAATTTTCACATAGACTGGGGAGAAGCAGGACACCTCAGGCAACGAATTTCTAGAATGTATTCAGGATAGTTTTTTGGAACAATATGTTTTAGTACCAACAAGGGAACAAGCCACACTGGATTTGGTGATGAGTAATGAGCCAGAACTAGTTAACAATCTGACAGTAAGGGCACACCTTGCAAATAGTGATCGTAATATGATTGAATTTGACATGGGA